GGTAGAAAAGGTAAGTAAATATATTTATTAAAAAAATAATAAAAAAAAAGAAATAAAAAACCTACCTACGCCATTTCACGAACTCAAGAGCACAATTCTGAGGAAAGGTAAGTTAAGAAGAGGTAGAAAGGTAAGTTAAGGAGAGGTAAAAGGGTAAATTAAGAGGTAGTGAATTATTTTATTAAAAAAATAATAATAAAGAAAGAAAAAGCCTACACTATTTCGCGATCGCCTGCACAATCCCTAAGCTTTATTTTTTAAAAAAAAAAATTTTTTAAAAAAAAAAATCTATAGATCTATAATTTTGGGGGTTCACAACTATTTCATCTTCTGTTGAAATGCTAATTTCGACTGGAGTTACACTAAATTTTGTCCTCCGTAATAATTTTGATTCCCGTAAATATTTTCATCTTTTATAATAATTTCGAGATTAATTTTGAATTTCAGAATTCAATTTCGGGATTATTTTAAATTAACTGGGGTCGAGTTTTGAATTTTTAATTTTGGGAGCATGTATAGATAGAACGACCTTGTTTTTGGCTACAAAATAATATATATTTTATTATTGTAGCATCGATATTTGTGAAGTTATTTTGGTTTAAAGAAAGAGCATCTGTAAAAAAAAATCATACGAAAATTTCCAAAAATTTTTATACAATTTTGCAGAATTTTGTACCACAAAATTTTCTACAAAATTTTGGTAAAAATTTGCAGAAATTTATACAAATTTGCAAAAATTTACATAAGTTTTTTAAAAATTTTCACACGATTTTTTTTATAGACACTCTTTCTTTAAATTAAAATAACTTCATGAATATCGATGCTACAATGATGAAACATATATTATTTTGTAGCCAAGAACAAGGCTGTTCTATCTATCTTAGAAATACCTTAGTAGAAAATCATAAGTGAAGTTAAAAAAATAGAAAAAATATATGAAAATTTGTAGAAATTCAGAAATTTATACAAATTTTCATCTTGTAAAATTTTCTAATAAAATTTAAGGCAAGACCTCACTGGAATAATAATAAAAAAATGGTACTCTAATAGAAATATAACTTCCATCAATTGCTTTAATAACTTGTGAAAAATCTTTAATAGATAAAAATCATTAATAACTTTTTACTATTTATTAATATTTGTTGAAAATTTAAAATAGAAAATATTATAAATATTTTTTAAATAAAAAATAAATTAAAGAAAATTATTTGATTTTTTTTTTTAAAAATTTTTTTTTTTGTTTCAATAAGGCCTTGTTTTAAATTTATTAATTAGAATTCTTTTAAAAATATATTTATAATTAATTAAATAGTATTTTTAAAATAATAATGAAAAGTTAAAATACCAATATCAAATTATTATGCAATTGTATAAAATAATTTATCAAATTACAAAGTTACAGTTAATTTTAAATGTAATGATATTCTGTGGTTTTCTGTTGTTCCAAATAAAATTTTACTTAAAATTTATTCAAAAGTATTTTTATTAAGTTGAAAATATTTTTTAAATTGTTTGTTTTACTATTGTATGTAAATGTTTATAAATCAAACTGTATTTTTGCTTTTTTTTAAAATTTATTTTTATTAAGAGTTTGAAATGTTTGAACAACTTCAGTTAAAATTTTAATTTTCTCATCACTTGAACTACTTGAGTTACTTGAGGAAGAAGAAGTTTTATATAAGATGTCTATTGTAAGTAAAAAAATTTGGTGGTTTGTCATAATAAAAATAATAATTTATAAAATATATAAACTATCACAAACATGATTAGATTAATTTTGAATTTAGCCAATTAGATATTAATCTGAATTAAATTTGAATTGACCTAATTTAAATTCAAACTTGTATGTGAACATATCCATTTATTATTTAGATAAAATATAAGTAAATTGTAGATCATGTAACAGGTGATATACCAGGTGCATCACTTAGGTAAATTACCTGTTGCACATAACAGGTATATTACCTAGATTAATTACTTGTTACTAAAATTAATAGATTTGTAAAATCTGTAAATTTCATAGTATAGTATATAAATTAAAAAGATATAAATATAAGTCTTCCTTGACCTTGGAAAACCAGAGACATAAACAGAAATTCAAATAAGAGATTTGAATAGATCTGAAGTCCCCTTTGATAGTCTTTATTTTATACCTTTAATTTCTAATTTCTACTTTTATTTTATATTTTTATTTTTATACTTATCATTATATTTATTAATAAAGTTATAATCCATTAAATATTCCAATTAATTCTTTATATTATTAATTTGTCATGTAATCAACCATAAATTCCAAATAAATCTTGTGTAATTAACCTTTAGCTATACATCTTACCAAGTGGACAGGCTAGTTTGATGTACTAAAATCTCTTTACAATAAAGAACTCACTCTGTAATATTCTCTTAAAAGTCTTAGATAAATAATTTAAGTTGAGTTGATCTTAGTGATCCTCATGAAATTGTAGTAAATTATTTAAGTAGTTTAAGATATATGTTTGAGATATTTGTTATTCTTCGGACCCTTGTCCACAAGTTGGTATGACAAAGTTTTTTAAAAATTTTTTTATTAATTTGCTCCCGATTTGTGAAGTGTAGAGCGATTTTCTACTAAGGTATTTCTAAGGTAGAAAGAAAGATCTTGTTCTTAGCTACAGAATGATATATATTTTATTCAAATAGAATCGATATTTGCGGAGATATTCATGTTTAAAGTCAAACGCTTGTGAAATTTCCGTCATAAATTTTCCATAATTCTGGTCAAAATTATGAAAATTTCTGTCATAACTTTTCTATAATTTTTCATAATTCTGACCAGAATTAAGGAAAATTTATGGCAGAAATTTTTCACAAACGTTCGATTTTAAACGTGAATATCTCCGCGAATATCGATGCTACCGGAATGAATCACATATTATTTTATAGCTAAGAACAAGGCCTTTCTTCCTATATGAAAAATATCTTAGTAGAAAATCGCTCTACACTTCACAAATCGTGAGCGAATTAATAAAAAATTTTTTTTAAAAAACTTTGATAAATATGAATAATCATCAATCGTGAATAATTGCGATTATTCGTTGATTAACATTTGTTGATAGTCGATTTTGTATTCGCCAGTGCAACTAGCATCTCATACACTGATTTTATATCTCACGTGTACTTCCAAAATAGTATAAGTGGAGTACGAGTGCAAATACTATAATTATAATAATTATAATTCTGATTTAGATAATTATAAAAATGAATAATTAAATTAAAAATGAAAATATAAGTGATAAAAATAATAATGAACAATATTACAAATGAAATAATAGACAGAATGAATTATTATATAAAATTTTTTGGATATAGCAGTAGATTTAACAATCAATATTTATATTGCAGAAAAAGAAATAATTTTTTTTTTTTGAAATAATGAATAGTAATAGTATTTGTCTCAAAGTATAGATTTTTAAAATGATTTTTTAAATAATTTTTTTTATTAAATGATTTTTTAAATATTCTTTATTAAAATAATTATCTTCTATAATTTTGATTGTTCAAATTAATAAATTTTTTAATTAATAACAAATTAATATTTTTTTTTTAGATTTGGTACCTATATTACATATGGACTGGAATTTGGAAAGCTTATGAATGGAAATATGCGTTGGTAATGTTGATTTAATAAATCCTGCTGAGTCTTTACAAAAACAAATAGATGAAGTGCAATTAGATATATTAATAACGAATCAACTTGAGCCATAATTAAAAATATAAAGAATGGAAATTTTTAATACCTTGAAAATATATAAAATTAAGCCTCCAGATAATATCATTGCTTCTGTTCATAAACAATTGTCAAAAATTTGAACCATAAAAAAGATATGGGAATGGTAGAATTATAATAAATAAATAAATAAAAATTAAATATTTTTATAAAAATTTACTATTATAACCTACTTTTAAACTGAACTCTCAAGAATACAAATTTCTTTAATCAATATATCGTGTAATAAAAATTAAACGGGTCACATGGCATGGTTATCACTTTAAATATTATCAAATACTTGAACATGGTTACTATGGATATTATTTTTAGAAAAGATTAAAAAAAGGATTCAATCTGAAGAAAGAGAAAAAGGTAAAGAGTAGTATAAATAGAAATCAAGTTTACTAAAATAAAAGCACTTAACCGTATTAATACAGATTCTATAATTAAATAGTAATAAAATTTATGATGACTTAATTAAACTTGTCTTTTATTATAAAAATGTCTTCAATGTAAACTTTTATCTTATTTGATCTAATTAGAGAACAATGGCAAAGTTATTGTTATTCAATTTTAAAATTCAAATCGGAATACTCAAAGTATTAATACTTGTGTAGCATGATGAGCAAAAACTGGTAATTCGTTCTAGATTTTAAAATCTCCCGAGAGAAGTATAAAATTTATTTTTATACTTGCATTTACCTTTTTTAATTTTTTTTTTTTTTTTTTTAAAGTATTATTAAAACTAAAAAAAAATATGAAATTTAAATTTTATTTTATACGTTTTTTTTTCCTTTTAAAATTCTCATTTGATATATATTTTATTTGACTCTAAAATTAATAAACATATAGATATGAATATCTCTTTAATATAGTATATAATCAAAACAAAAGATTCTAAAAACTATAAATTTATTTAATTTTCAATACGCACGTAATGTAGTATATGCATATGTAAAGCGCGAATTACTGAATATAATTTCTAATTTATTCAAACTTTACATGTGACCTTTTTTTAATTATCAAGAAAAGGACTAACTTTAAAAATTAGTTTACAACGCATATACTGAGTTTATAGATTATTAAGTAAAATTAAGTATAAATAAAATAAAATGACAAGAATACTAATACAAATAAAAAGAATATTAATAAAATACTAATAGAAGTTTTGTCTTTTGTTTATAAGCCGATACCCAATATTCCGGCAACCATACATATTCCCAACAATATTAAAGAATAAAGATTTTGAGAAATGAAAGAGTTAGAAGATGATGTTGCTGATGGAGTTGCAGTAGTAGTTGGGATTTCACTGGGATTAGGGCCTCCGCTACCAGTTGGGCCATTGGTATTAGGTTTATTAGTGTTAGGGGTTGATGTAGTAAAAACAGCAGATGTTGTGTAATAATTTCCAAGACATTCTTCTCGGCAACTTTCATAATCGGAACTGGCTAAAAAATTATTAATTAAAAATATTTTAAGTAAAAATATTAGAAATAAAAAAGAATTATAAGTAAAAAAATATTATAATTACTTTGGTTGCACTTTGCGAGACATGAGTTAGTTTTATCGATATCTGATTCACTAGGATTTGGCACTCCAGCACATTTAGCACGACAATCTAAGTAGTCACTAGCAGTGGCAACACAATATTGTGATATACAAGACGCAATTGCTATTCGAAAATGAGAAGAGAGAAAAACAAAAATTAAATTAATTGAACAAAAAATAAAGAATATAAAATAAAATGAATAAAATAAAATTAATACATACAAGGAAGAGGAGCAGTAGTAGTGGGAGCAGCAGGAACAGTTGTTGCTGGCGAAGAAGTAGTACTACTACCACTTTGACCATATACAAGATTCGCCAAAACGAGAATAGCAAAAAATACGATAATTGAATTGTTCTTCATTTTATTATTTGGGTATTAAATTTCTATTTTTGTTGAAGAAGGTATGAAACAAATATTAAAATAAAATAGTTTTAAAATATTTAGAAGAAAGAGAGAAGAGATTAATTACCAGAAAAAAATATTAAAAAATAAAATATTAAATTAAAGTAAAATAAATTTTTTGAAAAAAAAAAAATGGAAATTTCGAAAAAAAAAGGCGTGGAGTCAAAGAGATAAATTGACCAATTTTATATAAAAATTATGAGTTATTTATTAACTATATTTGTTTTTTACTGAAATAGTAAATATAATTAATTTATTTATTTACTTTGATATTATAAATATTTATATAAAAAAATATAACACGCATAAGTGCACAACTTTTTGTTCACATCGAAATTAAATTATTCAATTTACACATACATGACAAACATACATAAATTATAATTATATTAATTATTTAAAACGAATTTAAGCTATGATTATTTATTTATAGGATTTATAGAAGATAAATAAAAATAAAATTCAATTATTAGTGATCATTAAAAATGATCCTTGGCTGAAGTTATTGATAAAAATAATCGTAATAAATTATTTTGTATTTATAGAAATAAAGTTATTATTTATTATTTATATTATATCATATTTATATTTTATATTTGATTTGCTCTTCGTTATTTTCTCATAACCAAAAACAGAAATCAACTCAATTTTGTGGACGATGAATTATTCTTTTTCTTTTTCTTTTTATAATATATAAAAATTTTTTTTTTTGTTAATCGTTTCTTTATTTATTTCCTTATTTTCATAATAACGGTATTTTTGTTTATCGTACAGTAATATTTTGTGAAATTCTTATTTATTCACTGAAATCACGTGTTTTAATGCAAGTTCATTGTAAATGAACATATTAAAGCGTAAAATACCTCGTTAATTAAGTGGTTCCTGCAAGAAATTTTTTTTTTTTAGTTATGTAATGTAAACATTTTGAGTGTTTATCTCTTTTTTTGCTCCAATGAAACATTCCCTTGTTTCATTCTTTATCGTGAACAATAAGAAATGTTAATTAAAAAAAATTCACATTATCTTTTATTATAAAAAAAATATTGTAAAGATTGTATTGGTATTAAATCTGTTTATAGTTAATAAATTTAAAACGACCGGATAAATTGATTTTTGATTCCTTTATTTATCATTTTATATCTATTATATGTAAACTTTAAGCCTCATAATAATTAATAAATACAGTATCTACTAAGTTTCTTTTCTTTAAAAGAAAAAGGCTACCAGTTTTTTTTTTTTAAAAAAAAAAAGACTTTTTTGATTACTTATAATAAAATATATTTTTTTTTTTAAAAAAAAAAAACCTTTTTTGATTACTTATAATAAAATATTTTTTAAAACACTAGGGTCAAGCAGCTTAGTTTAGGTTAAACGTTATTAAAAAAAAAAAAAATTACGTACTAACTCGTCTAAGTGTGATTCTGGGGAATAAAATTAACACCTTTATATGGCCTTAGCTTATGAGGTCGGAGTGATCAATTGGGTCAATTAATTCACAGATATGTAATGAAATCAGTTTTATAATATATATAATATTTAATCTTGTACATTATCTATACATTTCTATTTAGATAACAAAATATAAATCTGTCGTTATTCTAATTTACAAATTTGAATACGCAACAGCTATTAAATTTTTTTTAATAAATAATTCAAAATATATTTATAAAAAAAAAAAATAAATAAAAATAAAATAAATAAATAATCTAATAAATAAATTTACATAAATTAAAATAGTGTTATTATAAAGCCCATATTTTTATAACATTATCTAATCCACCTGATGACAAAATAGAATCTTTATATTTTATACATTGAACTGGACTTCTATGTTCTCCCAAACTTGAATGTTGGAAGGAAATTCGATTATACATCTGAAATAATAGAAATATTAAAAAGAAATAAACATAATGAATATAAAAAAATATAATAAATGTAATATAGATGTAATATAAATGTAATATAAATATAATATAAATATAATATAAATATAATATAAAATGTTAATTAACCTTAATATCATTGGTATTAGCACTACAAATTATTTTATTAGAGTCAAATTGTAAACTTGTAATACTGTTGTCATATGCAAAAGTGTCAATTATTGATCCTGTTCTTAAATCCCATATCTTTTAAACAATTTGAAAAATATAAATCATTAATTCATAAAAAAAAAAACAAAAAAAAACAAAAAAACAAAAAAACAATAAAATAAAAAAATAAATTTAATATTAAAATATACAAACCTTTATACTTTTGTCAATACTTCCACTTACAATATGAAAATCATTAAATTGAAGACATGTTATTGGACCTAATAATAATTTGAATTAAAGATTAAAAAATATGAAAATTATAAAAATTAAGAAAATTATAATTAATTAATTATTTATTGATACCTGTATGACCAAGAAGTGTACGATGAACTTGTCCTGTTCTCACTTTTTTTTTTAATTATTAAATTTTGAGTTAAAAATATTATAAAATCAAATATATTATAAATCAAATAAATATATCAAACAAATCAATAAATCAATAAATAAATGAGAAGAAGAAATAAATAAAATGAATAAATAAAGGATACAATCCCACATCCGTATAGCTCCATCTTCTGTTCCACTTGCTAAACCATCATAACGAAATTGTAAAGCTCCTACAAAATCTCCTTGATCAAACAAATAACTATCTAATAGGAATCCAGTTTGCCTACGTTCAGCTTTAGAACTGGACATAGCCCACAAAATGTCCATAGTTAAAATGCATTGTCCTGTTTCCAAATCCCATTGTCTCATGGTTTTATCTGATGAACCTGTTACCTATATTAAATATTTTTCACTTTTCATTTTAAGTAATTAAATTATTTTAAATTATTTTAAATTAATTAAAATTATTATTATTTTTTTTTTTTGATCCACATACCAAACAACTTCCATCATAATGTAGACAGGTGACACTTCCACTATGACCTACTAAAGTTGCTAAGAAACAATTATCACCTATAAGGGATGATTCATTATTTTCAGTTGAAAGCTCAGAATGAAAGTTCAATTTTCCCATTAAATCTGTAACTGGTTCATTGGGTAAAACTGATTTGGATGTATCCCATTGTCTAATAGTATTATCACTTGATCCTGTGACAAGATGACTTCCAACTAATTGCATACAATTCACTATTCCTATAAATAAAATAAATAAATAAATAAATAAATTAATAATTAAATAAATTAATAATTAAATAAATAAATAATTAATTAAAATAATAAACGCAAATATGAATAAATTCTACCTTCATGACCATCTAATATTCCTAAACAACGATAACTGCTTAAATCCCATAATCGCAATGTTTTATCCATTGATGATGTGACAAGTTTTTCATCCGGTTTATCAAAATCCAAACATATGATCATATCATTATGTCCTTCTAAAACCTTCAAATTAAATTTATAAATAGATTAAATAGATTATAAATAGATTATAAATAGATTATAAATAGATTACAAATATAAATATATTATTACCTTTATACATGTTCCTGGTTCATATTTTGGTTTTGTCATCTTTTTACCTAAATTAATTATAAAAATATGATGATAAAATTTTATCATTTAATTAATTAATATAAAAATATCATGACAAACCTTTAATACTACGCGTTTTCTTTTCTGTAAAACCATTCATTTGTACCAAATCAGTGATTCTTTCATTTAAATCTTCCACTATTATTAAATTAAAATATAGTTAAAAATATATTGAAATATAATTAAAATATAAATTATAATTAGAATAATTTGTGAATTTTACATTGTTCAGCTAATTCAATTTTTCGTGAACTATATTTCGTTAAATCAGTCTCTAAATTGATTTTCCGAGCAGTCAATTCTATAATATCCATTTCAATTTTCTTGATCTCGGCAATTGCTCGTGACTTTATAAACAATAAAAATGAAAATGATATTTATTCCGAATATCTATCGGAACTAATCTTTTATATAAATTAATTAAAAGCAATGAGAATTATATAAATACTTCTTGTAGATGTAACTTGTCATTTTCTTTTACAACTCGATCGCGATCAGCGATGAGTTGATTAAGTGGCTTGATTTCATAATCCACTGATGCTGTATATAAAAAAATTAGATAAATATATATTTTTAAAATTGAATTTTTGAGTTTATCGTGAATATTAATTAAACGTTTCCAAGGTGAATATCGTTATACCAGTATCAGAAGTTGCATCTGGAGTAAAACATCCATCCGTCAAAAGACCTCTACTTTTTCGTTTATGAGGTTTTCCTTTTTTTTTTGCTACTTCCGCTTCCAGGAAGGTAGCTTTGTAACCCTGAAATAATGATAAAGGGGCCTTAGATTCGGGTATTTCAGCATCCAACAAAAGTAGTTCGGTATTCTTAATACTAATTCTATTAGGATAATCCTCTTGTGATGCAGAAATTTGGTTTGGACTTTCTTTCGACTGACGATTACTACTGTTAGTATATTGTTGTATGCGTCTTTGGTCCATCAGTTGAGGAGCTAGTTCAGATAGTAAAGCCACTGTGTCGCCCTTGACGGCTCGATGTGTTAGAGGTGAGAAAAGCATTGAGGCAGTAGTTGAAACGGTATTCGAAAGATTACTTGTAACTGTGTTTGAAAGACTTTCAAAGGAGACAGGTAAGAAGTCGGTCAAACGACTACCTTCTAGGTTAGAAGTCGAAGATCGAGCATTTGAAGTGTTAACAGTACTCATTATCTGATTTATTGTTAATCAATTTCGATTTACTGTTAGACCAAAAACTTATTATTTATAGTTGGACGGTTATAATTATATTTCAAAAAAAAAAAATTTTATTTGGATCTGCTAACTAATTTTGTTTCAAAATTTCCTATTTCATATAATAATTGTAACAATTGTAACTGATCAAAATAATCAACATTTCGATAAATTCTAAATTTACTTATTTTCGCTATATATGCTATATAAATATTTGAGATCTAATTTTATTAATTTCGAATTCTATATTTTTAAAGATTATAAATATATATTTTAGAATTATATATATATATATATATTAGAATTATATATATATATATATTACATATTTTAGAATTATGTAGTTTTTGTTATTAGAAAAGTCCAAGCTATTCCTAATATTTGTTCATCATTTTTAACCCTACAAGAAATAACTGCAATTGGATCACCCTCTTTGAGAGGAGCCGAGAGACATTTATTAGGTTTACCATAAGGATGTATTAGGAAGGAACCCTAAATAATATTTTATGAGAATAAAATATTATTATTTATTATTATTATTGTTATTTTTATCTTCTGAAAAAAAAAGATTTACCTCATAATTTGATTCTGCCAAGCACCATTTCGTGTTATTATGCTCAGCATAATATTGTGAAATCATTTGTAATGTATTATCTTTTGTATTCCATCCTAAACTTTATATTCTTTTAATAATTATTTAATTTGTTTGATTTGTTAAACAGCAAAAAATAAAAGAAATAATAATAATAATAATAATAATAATAAAAATAATAATAAAAATAATAATAAAAATAATAATAAAAATAATAAAACTTACATAGTATTGCCTTGACCAAATATTTTTATTGGCCTTTCACAATTATAATAACTTTGATGTGGAATTTCTAAGGAGAAACTAGTTTGTGAAGGTTGCTTATTACAATCTAATACATATAATGGATTGGAGGATGCATCCAGGCATTTCCAATGATATTCTTACAAAAATAAAATAAAATAAATTTAAAAAATATAATATATTGTAAAGAAAGAAAGAAAGATAAAAAATAAAAGATATTTTTTCATACTATTTTCAATTGTGTTGGTAAAAAGTTTTGGTACACTAGGTCCTCCTTGAATATGAGGAAAAGAAGGAAAAGAACTGCATTCTCGGAGAATACTTATGGAAAAAATCAATATCAAAACAATGTTGAAATTCATGATTACGTTCGTTTTTTTATAAAAAAAAAAAAAAATAAATTATCTCAAAATAACTCGAAAAATAACTCAAATAATCAAATAATGAATAAGCTTACTTTATATGGAGTGAATAAAATTGATTTGCTCCAATTATAGTTATTATATTTTATTATATTTTATTATATTGTATTGTATTATTATATTTCAGAATATTAGCACCCTTTTTCTGTTACAAACCAATAGTCGCGTTCTAGTTTTACATTGTATCAAAAAAAAAAAATGCTTCGCTTTTCACACATAAATTCAATATTAGGTTCTGATTTATATGAAAAAATTTGTAACTGTCGTGTCTTGGTGGTCGGTTCAGGAGGGATAGGTTGTGAACTTTTAAAGAATTTGGTTATGTCTGGATTTAAACAAATTGTATTAGTATGTACTTGTAATAACAAATAATATCAAATAATGTAACAAATAATTATCAAATAATATCATATAATAAATATAATAAATATAATAAATATAATAATTTTTATTTTTTCAGGTTGACTTGGACACAATAGATTTATCAAACTTGAATAGACAATTCTTATTTCAAAAACAACATATCAAAAAATCAAAAGCTCAGGTAATTACTAATTATATCCTATTTATCTTTTATATCTAATTATTCTCATTGAATTCTTTTAAATATTCTTTTGTAGGTTGCACGCGAATCTGCTTTAAAATTCAACCCAAATGTTAATATTATTGCACATCATGCAAATATCAAGGATCTTAAATTTAATGTTGAGTGGTTTAAGGGATTTGATATAGTGATGAATGCTTTGGATAATCTTGGTAAGAGAAAAGGATTTATAATTAAATTAATATTAATTAATTAATATTTAAAATAAATATATTTAATAATATTTAGACGCGAGACGTCATGTAAACACGATGTGTCTGGCTGCGGATGTTTCACTTATTGAATCTGGATCTGAAGGATATTTAGGACAAGTGACAATTATTAAGAAAGTAATTAAAATATGATATTTTATGATATTTATAATATATTTTGCAATAAATATTTACGATATTTGAACAATATTTATAATCTATTTAATATATATTTAATATATTAGGGAGAAACAGAATGTTATGAGTGTCAACCTAAACCAACAAGAACTACATATCCTGTTTGCACGATTCGTAGTACTCCAAGTAGTCCAATTCATTGTATTGTTTGGGCAAAGAGTTATCTTTTTAAGTAATTATATTATATATATATTATTATATTATTCATTTTATTTATCTTTATTTATCATAATTTATCTTTATTTTCTAAATAATTATTTAGTCAATTATTTGGATTGCCTGAAGATGACGATGAATTAGATCAAGAAATTAATAGTGAAAATGGTGAATTCTTATTTATTTTTTTTTTCTTTAAAAATTTGATTCTTCTCGTTTAACTTTTTGAACTTATCATTAAATAAATTATATTATGATATTTTTACATTGTGATATTGTTATTTTTAGAAAAAGAAATTGCTAATCTCAAAGAAGAATCCCAAGCGCTTAAACGCGTAAGGGAAGCGATAGGTTCAGATGATTATCCCAAAATAGTTTTCAAAAAAGTTTTTCAGGAAGATATCAATCGTTTATTGACGATGGAGGACATGTGGAAAACTCGAAATACTCCAGTGCCTCTAATTTACGAGGATATAGAAAAACTCAAAATCGAGGAAGAATCTCAATCAAATAATAATAATAATAATAATAATAATGATTTAACTCACACCACATTAAAGGATCAACGATTATGGAGTTTAACTGAGAATTTTTGTTTCTTTTTAGAGAGGTTCGCAATCAAATTTTAACTTTAAATTAAAAAAAAAAAAGATTAATTTTGAAAATTACTTAAGATCACTGGTGGTAATTGTCACCATTTGCAAAATTAAATTTACGTGGGCAAAGTTAGGGTTAGGGGTTGATCAGGGAATTATGTAATTTTGCCTAGTGGTGACAATCATCACCAGTGAGCTAATTAATTTTAATGATTTTTTTTTTATAATTAATTTTATTTTTATACCTTTTTAAATAGTACTCAAAAGTTGAGTACTCGTTTATTAAAAGAAAAATCGATTAATCCTGATGCCATCCTTCAGTTTGATAAAGATGACGAGGATGCTTTGAGATTTGTAACCGCAACATCTAATTTACGTGCAAGAATATTTGGTATTGAGGAAAAAACTCAATTCCAAGTAAAAGGTTATTTATTATTATAAAATACTTATTATCTTATTTTCTCTTTCTTATTTTTTTTTTTACGTTTTATTATCTCATTATTTTATTGTTCTATTATCTTATTGTTTTATTGTTTTATCATCTTATTGTCTTATTGTTTTATTATTTCATTGGTTCTGTTACCCATCTTCACATTATCTCATTTCGAAGTATGCAAATATATCAAATATATGAAAATATATTGATATAATTATCTGATTTGTTGGTATTTTAGCAATGGCTGGAAATATTATCCCGGCGATTGCAACAACCAATGCAATTGTGGCAGGAATGATTGTAATGCAAGCTTTCAAAGTTTTAAATGGAAAGATAAACGAATGTCAAACTGTAATATATTAAAAAAATAATATTATTCTTTTCTAATTTTTTATTTTTATTTTTTTTTTTATTTTTACATTAATAAAATTTTTTTTAATGATTCATTTTCTAATTTACATATATCATATTTTTAGGTATATTGCGCACCCGAAAGACGCCCATCACCTATTCTATCGGAATCGTTAATGAAACCAAATCCTGATTGTTCTGTATGCCAATCCACACATGTCACATTGAAAGTGAACGTAAAGAAAGCAACTTTACGTGATTTTATAGAAAAAATTGTCCAAAGTCAAGATGATGGCGGAATGGACATCAGCGAAGCATCGGTAGAAGAAGGCGGAAGGTAAATTTTATCTTTAAGAATTATTTATATTTATCCATATATACGTATAAGATCATATATATTTCCTGTTTCTTAATTAATTAAAGTAATTAATTACTTAATCAATATTTTTGTTAATTAGGATTATATATGATATTGAATATGATGATCATCTCGATGCTACGTTTGAACAGTTAAATATTACAGATGGAAAAATGATAAAAGTTACACCGGAGGATGATGATATTAATAAATGTCCAGCTGTCTTTGCCATTTCTCACGAGTAAGTTATTGAATTAATTTTTTAATTTATTTATTTATTTATTTATTATTTATTTATTTATTTATTTATTTATTATTAATTAATTAATTAATTAATTATTTGTTTGTTTAGAGAAATATTTGAGAATCCAAATACGTGGTTTCATGTCGATGGTAACCCCCAAAAACTCGTTACAAATAATTCTAACATTTCTCAAATTTTCGATGATAATTATAATGATGATAATAATAATAATAATAATACACATAAAAGAAAAATTGAAGATTCGGATATAGATCTTCAAGAAACTACTTCATCCAATAAACGACCTCCAATTAGTGAAGAAGTCATTGTTAACGACGATGATATTATTATGGCAGGTGATGATGTTAACGAACCAATTATTATTGATTAATTTCAAAAAAATTTGCTATAAGGAATACAGAAAATAAAATTGGTAATCAAAAATAGTTTCACAAGTAAACAATTAGACCACTAAAGAAATTCAGCCTCACGATAATTTATTGTATTGTTGCATAAAATGTACAAAATTCGTTCTAGAAGTTCTTTCTGGAAAAAGTTTAAAATGTAATTTAAGCTTTCAATACACGTGTTTCTTTATTTTTTTTCTCAAATTTAAATTCTCCCAATTTTAGTCTAAATATTATTATACGGAATGCCGCCTCCTGCAAATCCCTCCGAACGCGCACCCCTCCTCAATGAAGAGGAGCGGGAACGCGAATCTGATTATTTTGCGTTTACGCCTGATCAATTAGCAAAGTTGGTAGATCCAAAAAGTCCTGAATTGCTAAGAGAAATGGGTGGTTCTAAAAAGATTTTGGAGGGTCTGAAAGTAGATCCTACGGCTGGTTTGAGCTCTGATGAAGGTTTAGAAGACACAAAACAACGACAACCTTTTCATTTGAGACGCAAATATTTCGGAAGAAATGTAGGCTTTTCCTTTCTGAATCTTTAATGTTCAATTCAAAAATCGCTTGACGTATTAAAAGTCTATTCTTTCCCAATTAAGGTCTTACCGGAAGTAAAGCAACAATCATTAATTTCTTTAATTTGGGAAGCTTATCAAGATAAAACTTTGAGTATGTGCATGCTTTCATAATAATTTATTTGTTGATAACTTATCAAATTGATTTTAAAAAATTTTCAAATCAATATTTAGTTTTGCTTAGTATCGCTTCAATTATATCTTTGGCGGTTGGTATTAGTGAAGACTATTCTTCTCGCCATCCCGAAGGTGAACCCCGTGTCGGTTGGGTCGAGGGTAATAATTTATTTATTTAATTTTTTTTTTTTTTGTAATTAAATTTTTAATGTATATATTTAAAAATAAATAAATAAAAAAGGTGCTGCTATTCTTGCTGCGGTTGCTGCGGTTGTTTTTACGAATGCAATTAACGATTATCAAAAGGAAAAACAATTCAGAAAACTCAACTCCAAAAAGGAAGATCGAAATGTTAAGGTAATCAATGAAATATTCAAATTATTTAAATTGTAAAAATGTTTTAAATTTTGATGTACATTTATATATATTTATATATATATATAATTTATTTATTAGCTTATTCGTAATGGCAAAGAACAAGAAATTTCCGTTCATGAAATTAATGTTGGCGATATTTTGGTAATTTTTTTTTTTCACAATTAAAAAAAAAGGAAAAAAACGATTTATTTAATTTAATCTCAACTGATTAATGTAAATAACATAAAAATTATTATAGCTTCTCGAACCTGGAGAAATAGTTGCTGTCGATGGTGTATATTTAAGTGGACATAATCTCAAATGTGACGAATCTACTGCAACAGGTGAATCTGATGCATTAAGAAAAGGAGAATTAGAAGCTGGCGGTGATCCATTTGTGCTCAGTGGTTCAAAAGTTCTTGAAGGAGTTGGAAGAGTAGTTGTCATTGCTGTTGGTTAGTAATTATTTGCCTTTGTTCAAGTTATAAAATATATAAAATATTAATAATTTATGAATTCATATAGGTCCAAATTCTTTCTATGGAAAAACTATGATGGTTAGTATTAAAAGAATGTAATCATCATCAAATAAAAAAATTTTCTTGAAAATTAATTCTTTAATTTCTGTTTTAGGCACTTCGTAAAGGTGGAAGTGAAGAAACTCCACTTCAAATGAAATTAGATTTACTCGCTGAACAAATAGCCAAATTAGGTGTCGCTGCTTCTTTAATCATGCTTATGTGAGTTTTAATAATTTTTTAAAGTATTGTATATAATTTTATTGAATGTTTATGAATATTTTTTACGTTGCAGCACTCTTGTCATCAAATATTTCATCACCGCTTCTATGGCAGATGAATTTCCTGATGCAGAATCTATTTTGGCTTCAATGATCTCTATAATTATTCAGGCCATTACTATTATCGTCGTTGCCGTACCTGAAGGAGTATGCAATACCTAAATTTTCTAAATTTTCTTACATCTTTAAAATAAATAAATATTACTCAACTATATTAACAAAAATTTCATTTTTTTTTTTATAAAAAAAAAAAATTCAAGTTACCCATGGCAGTAACACTTGCGCTCGCTTATGCAACCACTCAAATGTTGAAGGATAATAATTTAGTTAGAGTATTGTCCGCTTGGTAAATATCAATATTTAATTAATTAATTAATATTTCTAATTTGAAGTAAATTAATTATTTATTATATATTAAATCCAGTGAAACAATGGGAAATGCTACCGCTGTTTGCTCTGACAAGACCGGAACATTGACACAAAACAAAATGACAGTTGTAGAAGGAATTCTTAGTCAGAAAAAATTTGAAGATCAAAAGGAAATTTCTAAATGGAAAAACGAAGTTGCACAATCAATATATGACGTCATTATACAAGGGATTGTAGTGAATTCTTCCGCATTTGAAGGAAAGGATGAAAAAGGAAATGCAGTCTTTATTGGGTATGTTATTAATATTTAAGTTATTATATTGTTTAAAATAAATTAATTCATTCCTTAATATTTTTCTTCCTCTTTTACAATTCTTCTTCTTTTACAATTCTTCTATATTATAGTTCTAAAACCGAGTGCGCATTACTTGAATTTTCAAAATCTTTTGGTGTGGATTATAATCAATTAAGGTCTAATGATAAGCCTGTTAAGATTTATCCATTTGCTTCACAAAGAAAATCCATGACTTCTATCATAAAATTAAAAAATTCCGTTGGTGCAGAATATCGCGTTCACGTTAAGGGAGCCTCTGAAATAGTTTTAGGTGCTTGTACACATTACGTTGATGCTGAAGGAAAAGTTCAGCAATTCAATGAAAATTCCAGGCTAAATTTTGAAACCATTATTACAAATTACGCTGGTAAAGCTCTACGCACAATTTGCTTAGCATATCATGATATATCTATAAAAGAATATGAAAAATTCGATGATGAAAATCCTCAGATCAAAGATCTGATATGTTTGGGTATCGTCGGTATTCAAGATCCTTTACGTCCTGGTGTTGTGGAATCTGTTGAAGCTTTTAGGAAAGCTGGTGTCAGAGTTAGAATGATTACTGGTGATAATATTATGACAGCAAGTGCTATTGCAAAAAATGCTGGAATTCTTAAAGGTGGTTTTGCTACTACTGGTCCGGAATTTCGTGCAAAATCTAAGAATGAACAAATTGAAATTGTTCGTCGATTACAAGTTCTCGCTCGTTCATCTCCAGAAGACAAAACCCTAGTCGTTTCTCACTTACAAAATTTGGGTGAAATTGTTGCTGTTACCGGTGATGGAACTAATGATGGACCAGCATTGAAAATGGCTGACGTCGGTTTTAGTATGGGAATTGCTGGTACTGAAGTGGCAAAAGAAGCTTCTTCTATTATTTTAATGGACGACAACTTCAATTCCATCGTTAAAGCTTTGAAATGGGGACGTGCTGTTAATGACAGTGTGCGCAAATTCTTACAATTTCAACTCACTGTAAATATCGTTGCTGTCGTCTTATCTTTCACTAGCGCTGTTCTTAGTGATGAAAATGAATCCATTTTGACAGCCGTACAATTACTTTGGGTCAATCTTATTATGGATACATTAGCTGCTCTTGCTTTAGCGACGGAGCCACCTAGTGAAGATCTTTTGAATAGAAAGCCTACCTCTAGATTTGCTTCACTAATTAATTATAGAATGTGGAAGATGATTATTGGACAAGCAATTTTCCAAATAATTATTAGCATGACTTTGATAAATATTGGCTATGAAGTTTTTCATCTTGACGAAAGTAAACCCCATGACCAAATTGTTATGCGTACTTTAGTATTCAACACATTTGTCTTTCTGCAAATCTTTAATGAAATCAATTGCCGTCGAATTGATGATACATTAAATGTTTTCCGTAATATTTCAAATAATCATATGTTCATCCTAATTCAAATTATCGTTGTTATTGGTCAAATTGCTATTGTTGAATTTGGAGGTGTAGCTTTCGGTACAACATCTTTAAACTGGTATCAATGGCTTGTTACTGTTTTAATCGGATCTCTTTCCTTACCTGTGGGTCTAATTGTAAGACTTATTCCTAACTTCTGTGTACCTGAAAGTATCTTAAATGAAGATTTTAAACCTGAAGTAAGTCAGGAGAAAATGCTTTGGGAATCTAGTATTGGTGGTGTTGCGAAGCAATTGCAAGTTGCTAGAAACTTGAAAGTTTTTGGCGCTGTAAGAAAATCAAAAAGAATCTCAGTTCCAATTCCTCATACAAGTGAATCACATTAATTTTCTTTAGTCTATTTGTAAATTTATAGTTAAATAATATTTTATTGTATACCCAATTTTTATATTTTTTTATTCAATTTTTTTTTTTATTTATTAAATTTTTTTTTATTTATTAAATTTTTTTTACATATACTAAATTGAGTATTATGAATTTTAAAAAATTTAATGTTTAATTTCTGATCTTCGAGGATATTCGCAATATCGATCTCCCACATACTTAACTTGGAAAACACCTAAATGAATATATATATAAATATATATGTATAAATTAAATATTTTCATAACTAAAATTTGTATGATTACAGAAATAATTACCTTGTTGTGCTGTATAAATTGTATAATTGTATTTGTGAATATTAAGTACTGTCTGAGTTTCCAAAACACGGCCCGGTTTACGTTCTTTACCATTCGTCAATAATTTACTTCTAGTATAAGTAAATCGGAATGGCGGTACACCTGAAAATAATTTGATAAATAAATCAATATACGAAAAATGTGATTAAATTAATCAAATTATTTCAATTTTATTTTCATATTTACCAATGAAATCAATGATAATTTCTGTTTTGTCTCCTTCTCTAATATCTGATATAATATCTTTTCCTTCTGAAAGAATAGCTGTGGGTAAATCATAAATTATTTCTGTTAAATTTGAAACAGATCCACAGCATTGATTTTTTTGATGACAGATTTTAGTAATTGTCATGTTTCCTGGTTTGTCAGCTCCAAATGTAAAAATAGATTTTTTCGAAATTGCAAATTTTAATTCTCCATTATACTCGTAAGTTATGTTCCACGGAGGTAAACCTAAAATTATTTATTTTTTAATTAATAATAAAACAATTAATAAATATATACATATATTAAAAAATATCTCATCAATGTAAAAAAAATGAATTAATTTGGTAATTACCTTGTAATGAATAATCTAATAAATCACCAACACAATGTATTTGTAGAGGTAATGTCCGATCAATAGTCGCAACATCCGTAATTTGAACCAAAAATTTATCCTGTAAGGTATTGCTACAACCTTGCGAATCCATAATATGTACTATTGAAATTGTATACCCTCCAACCATTGTAAATTTATTCTTGTGATAAAAATAATATGTTGTATTATAAATATCTTCAATTGTAATGGTATCTATTTTATTGTCGTTTTCGTGAGTAATTTCGAATTGTAGAACAAAAGGTGCGACACCTGTTATACTGATTTCAAGAGGTTCCATAAAAGGATTTCCAATGCAGTGATATAAGATGTCTCTATTAATGAATTGAGCAGTCGGTTTGGAAATCACAGTTTGTTCAAGTACAAGTAAATATGGATATGGTTCAGTGTATAAATCATCAGAGATGCTTGTAAAGTTATAAATATATTGTCCAGATTTTTCTGTCATTAGTTTTATTTTGGTTGTAGGAAACCCTACAACTTGTTGATTTGTAATTTGATCATTACTCATGATTATATCGTAAGAAATTGCCCAGGGAGCTCGACCTTCAAAAACCAAACCAATCGTGTCTTCAAATCCTTCACAAACATTCTTTCTACGATAATAATCTTTTTGAGGCAAAGGTTCCGCTTCACCATCAGATATTCTCATTGATGGACGAGGCAACCATCTTGCTTCAATTTCCTTTAATTCTGGAATTATTATTCCATAACAAAATGAATCTTTAACTTCCAATAATTCATAACGACCAGGTTTAGTTTCGGTTAAGTAAGAATTTGGATTTCGTAAATTGCGTTCCTTTTGAACTTTATCATCCCCAATATAACGATAAGAAATGTCCCAGGGTGCATGCCCAGCTAATTGCAATGGTAATTTAACAGTTTTACCCTCAAGAAATGTGATCACTTCATGTGCAGACCTAAATCCAACTGTAGGTTTATCTTTCTTAACATCGATCGTAATATAATTTGATGTATTAAGATATTGACTACAACCTTTAGAGTCTGTAATCTTTACCAAAGTTACAGTATATAAACCTTGATTGTCAAATGGAGGTGAAGCAATTCTAAGACTAGTTCCTTGAACATCGGCTATAGTAAATTCATTGATTCTCCGATTATATACCACTTCATAACTTATAAATATAAAGGAATTTATAATTAAAATCAGATTTATTATAAAAATTATAAAAAAAAAATATTTTTTTTTTAAAAGCCATTACTTACATTAAATCAAATGGTCCCGTTCCGAAGAAGATCACTTCTAAATCAACACTATCTCCAACACAACTGTTTAACATTTGAATATTCGCTTCACGGAAAGAAGCATAAGGTTTTGGATGAACGGTTTGTGAAAATCGATGATCTATATTAATACCTTCAGTATAAATTTGATCGGATAGACGATAAAATATATATTCGTATTGTCCTGAGGTTTCTGGCTTTATGGTTAATGAATGTCTTGACTTTTCGACTTTTTCAATATTGCGTTTATTACCGAATTTATATTCGAGATTCCTGTGAATAAAAAAAAAAAAAAGAGAGACTAAATCAATCAAAACACGTGAATAACCTATAGTATCTATCATATAATTACCATGGAGGATTTCCAGTTAAAGATAAGATTATTTCAATTCCTATTTCTCCAGGACAATCCTCAGCTGGTATAGGATTGGTTTCCATTTTGACGGTTGGAGGATATGCAATAAACAAAGATTTTGAAGATGGTGCTAATATTTCACCAACACATCGGGAGTCAGATACAGAAAGAAGTTTATATATTCCAGGCTTATTAACTTTCATAAACCTGCTATTCTCATTACGAAGATCTATTACTACGTCAAATATTTCACTTGGTTTGACAGATGAAATTTCTGTGTTTTCTGTCATATCTTCAGACCAATATCCAACGCCTATTTTCCAAGGTCCTAATTACGAAAATAATGATTTAATATGAGTTATACGTATTATACACATCTACAAATTAAATTTAGAAGTGATCTTTAATTCGTGATTATAACTAACCTCTTCCTCTTAGAGCTAATTGAATATTGGCGTTTTTGTTAGGACGAACATACACGGGAGAGTCAAGAAAAAAGTTTGCAGTAGGTCTTGGATACACAAAAAAATCGGCCATAGTATTTAAAGTTTCCTCATCATAAAACGCATGTGTATTGTTTAAAACATCTTGAATTTGTAAGACTATTAAGGAGTAAGCCGCAACTGTATCGGCTGTAATATTTAATTGTACACGAATTAATTGATCACGAGCCCATTGATAATTATCGGATTCTGCTTGATTTAATTGAGATGACACGTAATCCGACCCAATACCGTCTATTGTCATATTGACCGCAGCATCATTCACCTTTCGTTCGTAATGAATATTTAATGGGGGTACACCTTCTAATACTAAATCAACATATATCTCGTCTTCGATGCATAAACTTGAATCTGATTTTGGAACCAATTTAGCTGTAGGACAATAAACTATAATTTCTTCCTTTCTGTAAATTTTTATCCCCATTTCATCTTTATCTGAAGATTCCTCGATTCTATATACACCTGGTCGATTAATCGGTATATAGACATAAACACCATCTTGAACTACATCCATGATACGATGTTGTTCAATATCCTTTGACGAAAATTGATGTAGAGTCTTGGCGTTAGTTTCAAAATCTATTCTTGAATACGTAATAGACTCTGGATAAGTTTTGTTGAATAATATTGGTAATTCTATTGTATGCTGATTTTTTTTAACATTTGATCTTTGCAAACAGAATTTTTCTTCGTCTGGATTTAATTTAGCGGTGGCATATGGTAATAATCGTACGGTATGTTTTCCCTTTATGTGAGAAGTATTGTGCCTCACAACTATATTTTTGAAATATTCATTTTTAACAAAATCCTCTTAATCATATAGAATAGGGTTAAAGGAATTATTACCTTCTATTTGAATATCTTCCTCTTTACTAACCGCACGAACTTTTTCACCTTTTAACCTATTGACTTGCTGTCGAACTCATTAAGAAAAAAAATGGAAAAAAGATGATAATTTAATATAAATTGAATCACGAAAAAAAAGAAAAAATGTTATAAATATTTTTTATTGTCGTTTTTTTTTTTTTGAAAAATTTGATTTTTCTTATTTGTGGTATAACAATTAACTTATTGTTATCTTTTGCTTACGTTGTTAATAGTATATAAGGTTAAAAATATATCCTCGAGTTATACTTGGAAGGAACTTACTGAGTAAAGACGACGAAGTTATTATGTCAGCCATGAATTTTTTTAATGCAACTTCATAAACCTTATCCCGAATAAAGTGAAATCAAAGATTAGCTTAATTTTACACGTCAAATTGGAATCAAAAAAAAAAATTTTTTTTTTTTTTAAAACATACCCATAGAGGGTTAAGAAAAGTAATATTGATAAAACCAGAAACAAAAATGCATATAAACCAAAACCCTAAAGGTTTTTGTAACCATGGTATTCGAAATGTGTATAAACCAATAAAGAAAATCACATCCAACAAACTCCAGTATAATACGGTTGAATAAAACGAAGATTCGGTATAAGAAAGATAATTATATGCTTTGAGTGATGATAAAAAACCATAAATTGTAAAAGCTATATATCTTTGTTGAGGCGCTGAGCATATGTTTAAGGATATCAAAGGAGGTTTGTTAGGAACCACATTTCGGATAACACGTCGTCGAGTGGCCATTTCGAAATGAATTGAATAAAAAAACAATAATCAAAAAGTTTTATTTATTTATTTATTATATACTATATTTATATATTATATTTATTATATTCCATTAATTAATAAATCTGATAATGATTTTCATAACAAAAAATGTCAACCTTCTTTATGCACGAATCTTATACTTTTATAGCTAACAATTTTTGGAAATTTATCTGAATGCCAAAGAAATAATTGCAATAATTAAAGGAAATGCAATGAGCTGGAAAATTGATGCTATCCAAATAATATCACTCAATAAAATGGATAGAAACGAGAAAATGACTAATCCGAAGAAGATCCACGTTAGAATGACAACAGCCTAAAAATATATGAATATCATTTGTATTAATAAAAAGTAATTATTAAAGTATTATATTTTATAGAAATTTATCCCTTACTTTAGTTGCCCCGTATCCTGCTAAAGTTGCCTTAAAAATATGAAATTTGAAAATTTGAAAACTTTAGTAAATCCTCTCAAAAAATTAAAATTAAAAAATGAAATAATTACAAGAGTTGCCACAGTAAGCATCAACAGAGCATCTCGAACCGCATTCGTAGCTTTTTTATAACGACTATTCTGTTTAAATAAATAAATAAAAAATTTTTAGATTATAAAACTCAAATTACAAGACAACGTATTACATAATATACCATTCGGCCTGCAGAATGCCCATCGACAGGTGGAGCAGCTGGTGTATTAGAAGTATTAGAAGTGTTACGCCCTTTGCGAAGCAATTCAGAAACGACAATTGCCACTGCCCAAATAATAAGGAGTGTAAAGAGGGCAACGAACATTGCTATTTTATTATTAAAAAAAAAGAAACCACCTTATAAATGATGGGATACAAATTTATTTATTTCTTCCCGAAATTTATATTAATTTACCCTGAAGATAGTTATTATCAATAGCTTGTCTATCAGTAAAAATGGCCATGATTTTTTGTTTGCCAAGAGAATCTTTGAAAACATTATATTCTTTTTAAAAAAAAATTGAGAATGACGTAATAATAAATCATATTCTGAGAATGAATTCATTTGTTATTTGTTATAACGACGTCAGTGAATTTTATCGTTGTAATTTATACGTAAATTTTTTTTGACATAAAATAAACAAATAAAAAAATTAATTATGTATCACGAAAATAAGATTGAAAAAGGATTTTTTACTGATCACAATATATTATAACAAACAATGTAGAAATGAATAAGTCAAAAAAATAATTTTTTTAATTGTGTCGTATATACAGTAATTTCATCAAATTACATATTGTTTTTTGATGTTATTCCATTTTTTAAATTTAGGGATTTTGTATCATTTGATCGTGTTGATTTTTTTTGATTCCGTGTCAAGGACACGTAAAAATTATTTTTTTTTGTATTTTTACTACGGTAATTGTGATATTGTTATATTATCATATTTAATATCCATTCACAAATAAAAGACCAGAAATTACTAGAAATTAATCACAATAAAGCAATAAAGCGTATATCCTAAACAGTGGGGATGAAAGAGGGTAGCAATTTTTTTTTTCCGCTCACTTCTATAAAATCAAAAAAAAAATAATAATAAAGATTTGCGAAAAAAAAGGTTGTAAAAGCAAATCCATCGAACTCAATTTTACTTAGCTTTAATCGAAATAAGGTACCTTTGCTTGATTTTTGGTTGTCTACGCACCCACGATTTTCTTCTACGAAGCAGGCCTAAAGGGGCTAATTATTTTTTGCCGAGATTGTTCCAACCCTATAGCAACTTCAAGTATTGAAATAAGGTACCTTTGCTTGATTTTTGGTTGTCTACGCACCCACGATTTTCTTCTACGAAGCAGGCCTAAAGGGGTTAATTATTTTTTGCCGAGATTGTTCCAACCCTATAGCAACTTCAAGTTATGATATTTTTTCTAGTAGATTCCAGTTGTTTTAGGACTTGAGAATATGCATTAATTTGATGAGAATTAAGCCACCAACATTATTCTCATCTCTTCAAAAATCATAACCCAAAATCAATAACATCAAATGGATCCGATCGCAAACACAGTTCGTACCGATTAGCATTGAAGAAGAAATATTTGGGTCTCAATATACGGATACACTTAATTCACTCGATAACACCAATACCACTAACGGAAATCAAATCACTGGATTGGCATCCCTACAAACATTACCCGAAATATGTACTGTACTTTGTGTAATAAATCCTTTATACGAATCCAACTTGAAACCAATCGCGAAGTTAACCTGTAAACATTGTACCTTCCCATCCTAAATGTATTACCAGTTCTCTGAAGAAAGATTCAACCTGTCCGAGCTGTCGTGTACCTATTTATTTCGATATTGATGAAAACTTAAATTCGCAAAGAAAAAACTAGAAATTGGAAAAGTTTCTTAAAGAATTATCCCTTTCCTTTCGTTAATAGTCTTTGATCAATTACCTGACTTAGAAAATGAGGAAACCGAAAACTCCTCAAACTCACAAATGGAATTCTCTCGATTCTACAATAAAATCCTTAAAGTTGAAAAACCTGTGAAGTGATCCACATAAAATATGAAATTCTCGACTCTCATTACCTTCTTGGAAAATCAATAGTGGAGAAATCCGATGAATTAAAAGCTAAAAATCCTCATCGCTCCATTCAAATCATGCTCAATAAAGAATTTAATTGATAGTATCAATCGTGCGTAAGTCAATGATCGATTAATTATCAATTTTTATTTTTATTTTTTTTTCTGTCCAATCGTCAGATAACAGATTATAATTAAGTATAAAATATTATAATTAATAATATTATTCTATTAATTATATTATTTTTCTTCCAATTGATCATCTTCAATAATTTTATAAGGTATTTTAATTTTTTCACACATGAATTCAGCAACCCTGGTCCATTCTTGTGGTAATTCCGCCCTTCGCCATTCTACATGATCAGCTGTTGCAATGGAGTTATGAATTTTTGTAGATAACCAATTATAAAAATTTTTCATTTCATTCGCCACATCTACACTGCTTATAGCCTTCTCCCAGTTCCAGAAACTCTGAAATTTTATTAAGTTCTCATTATTATTTTTTTCAAGATATACTTTCCACCGTTTAAATCGTGTACTATTAACATGATCCAACGAAATCTCTTCCCACCTTTCTAGATATCAATTAAAATTAAAGGATTAACAAAATATTCATAGTGAAAGTAAAACAATTTTACTAACCAAAAACTCCTCGAAGATGAACTGCGCCCTTAAGTTTTAAATAATCCAATTGCGTTTGGCTCTGGAGAGGCAAGATGATGATAAATAAAAACTCACTATCATTGATGAAGTAATTTCAAGTAAAACTCACCAAAAGTTGTTCTACTAATTTCATGTTTTTTTTTTCCATTTCTATATTTTTTTCCCAAATTGTTTTTTGCTGATTCCATAATGCTGTGAACAAATTGATTTTTGCAGGTTTGATACATTTTAAAATTTCATTATCCACTAAAATTTGAAATGAATTCTTTTTCCGCTGTTTGTTTATTGTAGAGAAGCTTGAAATTCTGATTGAACTAGTAATTTTGAGGAAACGATTTGCATTTCTATACATTTTATGAAGGATAAAAATTCCAAACAATGAAACAAGCAGTCGTTGAAAATTCAATCAAATCATGTTATGTAGTGATGGGTATTGGGAAGCTATTTGAAGCTTTTTATCGGAGATGATTCTAATAGTTTATAGTTTCTAAATTCCAAATTCGTGTCGTGTATCACAAGTCATTCAATAATATGTATGACTACTGATAAAATTTCATACGAACATTCATTATTAAACTTTCGTTCTATAAACCCTAATACAAATTGATGCAAATGCTCTTGACTTGACTATATACTAATAGATTTTAAATATAATGGTCAAAATGAACTATAATAAAGCAATTATTATAAATGTAAGTCGCGAAATACATCCAATTAGACTGTTACACAAATCATTCGTTGTATGATAAATAATAAACTTTTAACTTCTAATTTAAAGTTGTTCTTTATTAGGAAGTAAGCAAATAATAAAAAAAAAATAATAAAACAAATAACATTAATTAGAAGTAAGAAATAAAAATGAATTTCCGCAGGGTAGGGGATGGATTGATGGGTTGACAGTTATTTAGTAAATAGTCTAGTAAGGCCTTAAACTTTATTTATTTAATAAAATATTTTTTTGAAAACATAAATATATGTAAAATTTTGCGCTGAATATCTTTACTTAAAGATTGGAAAGTAGTTGGTTTAACAAAATATTGTGTTTTTTTTAGGATTTTTTTTTAACTTTACATTTATCACGTGATCACGGTAGTTTATATATATATATATATTTAAGCACAGAAAAAATGAAAAAATCAAAACTTAGATTTGAATTTATAGATTTCGAAGATGGCAGAACAACTTGCTAGAGGCAATCAGTATCAATATACTGCAAATTCAAATCTTGTTCTTCAGGCAAATCGTTCCGAATTACCGCGTAGAGACCATGAACCGTCTGGCGAACCTGAATCATTATGGGGAAAGATAGAACCTAAAGAATTCGGCGATAGAGCACAAAGAGGATCCGTTAAAGATCTACAGGCAAAGAAGAAAAAAGCCCAAGAAGCAGCTGCAGCAGAAGAGAAAAAAAGGCGACGAAAAGAAGAAAGGTTTGTCATTTATTAATTTATTTTTAATTATTTTATGTAAATAAAATATATATATATAAATATATTTATTTCTATTTTTTTTTTTTCTTCCTTTAGTGCATTGAGAAAAGCATACGGTTATTCAAACGTTTTGGCAGCTACAGAATATTTTGACGGCTTATCTTATAGACCACGAACTAAGGAAACTCGAGAAACATATGAATTGATATTAGCATTTGTTCATCAAAATCTTGGTGATCAAGCTCAAGATGTGATTAGAAGTGCTGCCGACGACATACTTCAAATTTTGAAAAATGACATGCTCAAAGATTTTGACAAGAAAAAGGAGATAGAGGGTGTCATAGGAACTATTACATCAGATAGGTTTGCACAGTTAGTAAACTTGGGAAAGAAAGTAACCGACTATCACGTTGGGGATTCTACGGATGTAGATAAAGATGGTGAACTTGCAGGCGAGATAGACGATGAACTCGGAGTTGCTGTAGTCTTTGATGAAGAGGAAGAAGATGATGATGAATTTGGAAAATATGAAATTGAATCAGAAGAGGATGACGATGAAGGTGGTGAGGAAACAGTAACCACCGGTGTATTGGGTGTTGGTCAAGTCGAAGACGAGGATGATAAGGAATTTGGTTCAGATGAAGAAAACGAAGGATTTCGAACTGTTATTGGGCCAGATACAACTAAATTAAAAAAGGCCACTGGTATCGAAACTGCTCAAAAAATAGCACCTCACGATATTGATGCTTTTTGGCTTCAGCGTTTAATATCCAATTATTATTCAGATCCACATACAGCACAAGAGAAGACTTCAAGGACTATGCAATTGCTTGAGTCAGACATAAATACTCGCGACTGTGAAAATGAATTAATGAATCTTTTTGAATATGACAAATTTGATCTTGTTAAGATATTAACACGTAATAGAGAGTTAATCTTATGGTGCACAAAGCTTGCAAAGGCTGGAACAGAAATTGCTAAGCGTCAAGAGATTGAACGTGAAATGCGTGAACGTGGTTTAGAATGGATTCTCAAAGACCTTGGAGGAGAAAGAATTCGTCGAGGTGAAGGAGCCGCACGAAAAGGTGTGGTCGAAGATGCAATGGAAATCGACGAGAAACCTCCTTTGACACATGGTCCAGTTCATACTTCCGTAAAGGCTAATTTACCACCTGTAACAACGGCAACTCCGAAAAACATTATTGATTTAGAATCATTAACATTTACTCAGGGTGGACATTTAATGTCAAATAAAAAATGTAAATTACCTGATGGCTCTTTCAAACGTTCTATGAAAGGTTATGAAGAAATTCATGTACCAGCGCCAAAGCCAAAGCCTTTTGCTGATAATGAAAAACTTATACCAATAGAGGAATTACCTTTTTGGATTCAAGAATCTTTCAAAGGTGCTAAAACTCTAAATAGAATTCAAAGCAAACTATTTCCTGTTGCATTTAATTCAGACGAAAACATATTGTTATGTGCACCCACTGGTTCAGGGAAAACTAACGTTGCGATGCTTTGTATTCTAAATGAAATTGGAAAATGGCGTCTGGAAGATGGTTCAATAGCCTATGATAAGTTTAAGATTGTATATATTGCACCTATGAAGGCTCTTGTGCAAGAAATGGTCGGAAATTTTTCAGTTCGTCTTCAACCTTATGGTATAAAAGTTGCTGAATTAACTGGAGACCGTCAACTTACCAAGCAACAGATAGCAGAAACACAAATAATAGTAACAACTCCCGAAAAATGGGATGTGATAACTAGAAAAGCTACAGATAGAAGTTACACTAAAATTGTTAGACTTATCATTCTTGATGAAGTTCATTTACTTCATGATGATCGTGGGCCAGTTATAGAAAGTATCGTAGCGCGAACCATCCGTCATATGGAACAAACGCAAGAAAAAATTCGGTTGGTGGGTCTTTCGGCTACACTTCCTAATTATTTTGATGTCGCTACTTTCTTGCGTATAAATTCCGAATCAGGCTTATTTCATTTTGATGGAACTTATCGTCCATGTCCTTTAAAACAAGAATTTATTGGGGTTACGGAAAAAAAAGCCATAAAAAGGTTTCAAGTAATGAATGAAGTTACATATCATAAAGTCATGGATCAAGCTGGTAAAAATCAGGTTCTTGTATTCGTACATTCACGGAAAGAAACAGCTAAAACAGCCAAAACTATTAGAGATATGGCATTAGAAAAAGATACAATCGGTCAATTTCTTAGAGAAGACTCCGCAAGTCGCGAAATTTTGCAGACTGAATCTTCTACCGCTAAAGATACAAATTTACAAGATTTATTACCTTACGGTTTTGCTATACATCATGCCGGAATGTCACGTGCTGACCGTACATTAGTGGAAGAATTATTCGCAGATGGACATATTCAAGTTTTAGTTTCTACTGCAACTTTAGCTTGGGGTGTCAATTTACCTGCACATTCTGTCATAATAAAAGGTACTCAAATATATTCTCCTGAAAAAGGTCGCTGGGTTGAATTAAGTCCACAAGATGTTCTTCAAATGTTAGGTCGTGCAGGTCGTCCTCAGTTTGACACATTTGGTGAAGGTATCATAATAACTTCTCATACCGAACTTCAGTATTATTTGTCATTGTTGAATCAACAATTACCCATTGAAAGTCAATTCATCAACAGATTACCTGATAACTTGAATGCGGAAATAGTATTGGGAACTGTTCGTAATCGTGATGAAGCGGTTGAATGGTTAGGGTATTCTTATCTATTTGTGCGTATGGTGCGTAATCCGACACTATACGGTATTTCAATCGATCAATTGAGTGAAGACGAATCTCTTGTTCAAAAACGAGTTGATTTAATTCACTCAGCTGCATTATTATTAGATAAATCTAATTTGATAAAGTATGATAAAAAGACTGGAAGATTTCAAACTACTGAGTTGGGACGTATCGCTTCACATTTTTATATCACACACATTTCCATGGCGATCTATAATCAACATTTAAAGCCAATGATGAGTCATATTGAATTATTCCGCGTATTTGCATTATCAGATGAATTCAAATATATTCCTGTAAGAGAAGAGGAAAAACTTGAATTATCTAAGTTACTCGAACGTGTACCTATCCCCGTTAAAGAAGGCATAGAAGAACCAACTTCCAAAATTAATGTTCTATTGCAATCCTATATTTCACAATTAAAATTGGATGGATTCGCACTTGTTTCCGATATGGTATATGTGACTCAATCTGCAAGCAGAATTCTTCGTGCCATGTTTGAAATTTGTTTAAAACGTGGTTGGGCTCAACTTTCTAGGAGGGCTTTGGACCTTTGCAAAATGGTCGAAAAACGTATGTGGCTTTCTATGACACCTTTACGTCAATTCAAAACTATAACCATGGACTTGATAAAAAGAATTGAAAAGAAAGATTTCCCTTGGGATAGATACTTTGATTTGAACGCACAAGAAATTGGGGAACTTGTAGGTTTTCCTAAAGCTGGAAAAATGATTCATAAATATGTTCATCAATTTCCTAAGTTAGAGCTACAGACTTTTGTGCAACCTATAACTCGATCGTTATTAAGAGTTGAACTTAAAATTACTCCAGATTTTCAATGGGATGAAAAAGTTCACGGAACTGCTGAAGCATTTTGGGTTTTAGTTGAAGATGTAGATGGAGAAGTTATATTATACCACGATTCCTTTATTCTGAAGCAAAAATACGCGGAAGAAGATCATATTATAACATTTACAGTACCGCTTTTCGAACCTTTACCTCCTAATTATTTCATTTCGATAATATCCGATCGTTGGTTACATTGTGAAACGAAATTGCCAATTTCTTTTAAACATTTGATTCTTCCTAAAAAATATCCACCTCATACAGAATTACTGGATCTTCAGCCTTTGCCAGTATCAGCTTTACGAAACCGTGAATATGAAGCTGTGTATAGACAATGGGTTGAAAATTTCAATCCCATCCAGACTCAAGTGTTTAACGCTTTGTACAACAGTGACGATAATGTTTTTGTTGGAGCACCTACTGGAAGTGGGAAGACTATTTGTGCCGAATTTGCACTTCTTCGGTTGTGGTCTAAACCAAATCATGGTAGATGTATTTATATTGCACCATTCCAAGAAGTAGTTGATCGTCTAAAAGCTGAGTGGGAGAAAAAGTTTAAAACTTTACAAGGTGGAAAAAACATTGTATCACTTACTGGAGAAACTAGTGCAGATCTTCGATTGCTAGAAATAGGTGATGTCATATTTGCCACACCTACACAATGGGATGTTATGTCTCGTCGATGGAAACAACGCAAAAATGTTCAAAATATTGCATTATTTATTGCGGACGAATTACATCTCATTGGAAGTGATGTGGGTCCAACTTATGAAATAATTGTGTCACGTATGCGATACATTGCTCATCAAACAAAGAATCCTATTCGTATTGTTTGTTTGAGTACTTCATTAGCCAATGCTCAAGATATTGGAGAATGGATAGGTGCAACACCACACACTATTTTCAATTTTCATCCAAGTGTTCGTCCTGTACCTTTGGAAATTCATATTCAGAGTTATAACATTCCACATTTTGAATCATTGATTATTGCAATGGCTAAACCTACTTATGTTGCCATCACAACATATTCATATAATAAACCTGCCATAATCTTTGTACCATCACGTAGTCAATGTAAGCTGACCGCCGTCAATTTAGAAACTTTATGTACAGCGGATGGATTACAAGATTATTTTCTTAAACCATCACTTAAAGATGATCAAGGAAATTTGGATAAAAAATTTGCTAAAGAATTAGTAAAAGTTAATGATGAATATTTACGGGATACACTTTCGCATGGTATAGGTTTTTATCATGAAGCACTCAGCACCCTTGATAAATTGATAGTCGAGAAATTATTTGAAGAGGGATTAATACAAGTAGTAGTTGCATCACGAGACACATGTTGGGGATTGAATTTGAATTGTCATATGGTTATCATTATGGGTACTCAATATTATGAAGGTAAAGAACATAGATATGCAGATTATCCAATAACAGATGTTTTACAAATGATGGGACGAGCTTGTCGTCCACATATAGATGAAACTGGTCGTTGCGTATTAATGTGTCAAGCTATTAAGAAGGATTTTTATAAAAAATTCTTATATGAAGCTTTACCCGTAGAATCTCATTTGGATCATTTCTTGCATGATCATTTCAATGCAGAAATTGTGACTAAAACTATTGAGAATAAACAGGATGCAGTAGATTATCTCACTTGGACTTTCTTATATCGACGAATGGTTGAAAATCCAAATTATTATGGAATGCAAGGTTCGGATCATAGACATTTGTCAGATCATTTATCCGAATTAGTTGAAGCTACGGTGAACGATCTTTCATCTTCAAAATGTATCAACATTGAAGATGAATTAGAATTATCACCTCTCAATTTGGGAATGATAGCTGCATATTATAATGTAAGTTATGTTACAATAGAAATGTTTAGTATGAGTTTGAATGAGAAGACAAAACTTCGGGGACTTTTGGAGATCATTTCTTCAGCAGCAGAATTTGAATCAGTCCCAATTAGACATCATGAAGATGGTGTTCTCAAGAAGATCTATGAATTTCTACCGGGTAAACTAGCAAATCCTAAATTTAATTCACCTCACATTAAAACGAATATTCTTTTACAAGCACACTTTTCGAGATATGATTTGGATAGAGTACCCGATCTAAAATCTGATCAAGTTATAGTATTGGGAAAAATTATTCCATTAATTCAGGCTATGGTTGATGTAATAAGTTCTAATGGATGGTTAAATACGGCATTAAGTGCAATGGAGTTATCACAAATGAGTGTTCAAGCATTATGGGATCGTGATTCACCGTTAAAACAAATTCCATATTTTGAGAAAGAGCATCTCGAACGCTGTCAAGAAAAAGGGATTGAATCAGTTGTTGATATAGGTTTACTTGAAGATGATGAACGTGAAGAGATACTTAAAATGGACAAGATAAGAAGGAATGCAGTAGCGAAATTTATTAATCGATATCCAGATCTTGATGTTAAATATGCAATAAGAGATGAAGAACTTATAGCGGGTTCGCAAGGTATTTTAGATGTTAAATTAACACGAGAAGATTACGATGGAGATGATATTGGTCCAGTATATGCACCTAGATTCCCACATAAAAAAGATGAGGGATGGTGGATAATTGTTGGGGATTCATCCAAGAACACATTATTGGGTGTCAAACGAATCACTTTAAATAAGACATTGAATATAAAATTGGACTTTACGTGTCCACCAGAAGCAGGTGAACATTCATTAAAACTTTATACAATGTCAGATTCATATATGGGATGTGATTTAGAATTTGATATTGATATATCAGTACAAGAAGGGAATGAAGATAGTGAAGAGGAGGAAGAAGAGGAGGGAACACAAATGGAGACATAAAATTTTGTAGTATAGCATAATTTTAATTTTAAAATTATTTTATTATTTTAATAAGTAAAAAAAAAAAATGGTGAAGTGTAGAAAGAAAAAAAAGTTTAATGTTAATTGTAATCATGTGATTTAATACATAAAATTAATAAAATTTAAATTTAAAGTAATTATGTTTTCTACATTTTCTACTTATTAATGGAAACATATAAAGCAATAATTTTTGATATAGGAGGGGTTTGTGTAGGTTCACCTTTAGAAGGAATTTCACAATACGAAAGAAAACATAATTTACCACTAAACTTTATTAACGTGTCAATGTATGGTAATATATTATTTATTAAATTATTAAATTATTTATCGAATAATTTATTATTAAAATAAAAATTTTAAATCAAACAGTAGTAAAGCTGGAGAAAACGGTTCCTTTCAAGTATGAATCTTTAATTTTTTGAAAATTTTGATTAATTTTTTTTTTAAAAAAAATTTGATAAAATTTTAAAATTAATTTTTTTTTTTTAAAAAAATTTTTTAAATTTATAAATAGCGTTTAGAACGAGGAGAAATTAAAGTACATGAATTTCTTAAAATATTTAGTGAAGAGATGTCAAATCCTAAAAATAAAGAATTATATCTTGAATATCTTTTATTACGTGGAGATAAAACAATATCTAATGAAACATCAATATTTCCAGCTACCATAAAAATTGAAGGAAAAGAATTATTTCAAAAAATGATAGCAGAAACGACAAAACTTAATCCAATAATATTTAAAGCAATAAAAAATCTTAAAGCTAGCAATAAATTTAAAATTGTAGCATTGACAAATAATTTTCAAATTTCAAATGAAGATTCACAAATATTGGAATTTATAGGTGATGTACCTTTAGAATTAAAAAATTTATTTGATGAATATATTGAGTCAAGCATTATTGGAATGAGGTAATATTTTATATTAATTATGTTAATTATGTTAATTATAATAATTATGTTAATTATGTTAATTATGTTAATTATGTTAATTATGTTAATTATGTTATGTTAATTATGTTAATTATAATAATTATAATAATTATGTTTTACCTAAGAATATATTTACAAGTATATTTACTAAAATATTTACTAAATATTTACCATATTAGAAAACCAGATCCAAAAATATTTTTATATACTTGTAATAAATTAAAAATTGAACCTAAAGAAGCAATATTTCTTGATGATATTGGAACGTATGTAAATATAAATAATATGAATAATATATTGATTCTTTCATTATATTAATTAATTATTCATTTATTTATTTTCTAGAAATTTGAAGTCAGCTAAAAATTTAGGAATGAAAGTTATAAGTAAGTTTAATTCAAAATATATTTAATGTTTTCATTATTTTTTATTATTAAACATTAAAATATTTTTTTAAATTAATATATATATATAAAATAATAATAATAATAATAAAGAAGTAGAATTAAATAATTCAGAAAAGGCTATTAATGAATTAGAAAAATTAATAGGAATTCCATTATTAAATAATAATAATAATAATAAATTATAATTTAATTTTTAATAAATATTATATTATAATATTGTTATATTATAATATTATGTAATTGTTGTTATTTATATTATATTAAATATCAACTAGTAAATGTCCATAATTGTTTTCATTTTCCATATGAGGTTTTAAAACAATTCTATGGGTTGATATACGTTTTTCTTGTTCTGGATCGTGTGTGACAATAATACAAGAATATTCTTTAAGTGTCTTTTCAACTAAATGACAAGTTTTTGGATCTAATGCTGATGTTGGTTCTTTAAATTTAAGAAATTAATAATATAGAAAATATTAGTTGTTTTAAATAATTAATAATTAATAATTAATTAGTATTTTACTATTACAAAATAAAATAAAAAAAATACCATCAAGAAGTAATATCTCAGGTTTACATGATAAAGCAATAGCTAAAGAAATACGTTGTAATTCACCACCAGATAATTGATTCCAATTCTTTTCCCATAATTCTTCTGAAATATTCCATCTATAAATATAGTAAATAGATAACATAATAAATAATGCAATAATAAATAATATAATAAATACATATATGAAAAGGATTGATTTTATTTTTTACCGTCCGGATATTTCGATCTATGACCAAAATTGAATTAATTCACATTATTTATAATATTTATAATATTTATAATATTTATAATATTTATAATATTCGTTTTAATTTTCTTACCGGATCATCGTAGAATTTATTAATCAACCGTTGTGAACTAAAGGTTCTAATTTTTTGACTAAATTCTAACGGTGTACCTGGCATTATTGCTATTTATTTATTAATTGTATAAAATAAATAAATAAATAAGATATAACCATTTTAAAGAAAAGAAAATACAATTAAAAGATATACTTACGAGTTCTCTGTGGAACATACATGATTTGAGTTCTCCAATTTGGAACACCAGATTCCTCAGGTGTTCTAAAAAAAAAAAAGAAAATTGGTTAAATATTTATAATTATATAATATTATGAATATTAATGAATATATACATACTTGTCATTAAAAAAAATACATCCTTCTTCGTATATTACTAATTGAGCGATACACTTTAATAATGTAGTTTTCCTTTATTAAAAATTTTTCCTTTATTAAAATTTTTAAATCGTTAAAATAAAACAAAATTTTTTTTTTTCTTGGAAAAAATTCATACCCTACTCCACTAGGTCCCGAAATTGTTATTATTTCTTTACCAAATAACGAGAATGAAACATCTTTAAACAAATATGTTCCATCAACTTTTAATTTTGAAAGATTTTCAACTTTTAATTTCATTATTAAAGAATAATATTATTATTACGATTTGAAAAGAATTTATCAAATACATCTCTACAAATATGTCCCGATATAATTTTTTATTATTTATAGTTACCCTTTTTGGAATTTATTTTTAATTCATATGGGATAATAAAGAAATAAATTACCTTTTTGGTTAATTGTGTTACTGTTCGGACCTTGCATTTTTTTTTTTTTTTTTAATATTTGATCTTTAAGATAACTTCCTGGGGTGATTGTTTCACATGATATATATCTCTATTATATAAAATATTATCTTAATTTTCTACTGGAAAAAATAAGAATATTATCCCTTAACATTAAACTACTCAGAAATTTTTTTGGATATTTCTCGAAATTTTTCGCATATATATGAAAATGCTATTATATTATACAATATTATTTATTTCTATTAAATTTATATTTTTTTTTAAAAAAAAATAACCTAATATTGATATTATAGATGATGAACCAATATTCTAGATGCATTATTATTTACTAGTGATTATAAATTCTAGAAAACTCCATAATTGGTAATTCATTTTTAATTCATGTGACACAAAAAATGTGCTAAATACATTATGTATTAAAATAAAATTTTCTCGGCGGCATTATTAAAAATATTAGAATTACGTATTATCTTCTTATCTATTTTACATGACGTTAGCATTAATAACATTATTAATTCATAATTATTGTTCCCAATATCATAAATTTTACTTATTGCTCTATAAATGGCAGTGAAATGGATTAAATAGGTGGACATGATAATTACAGATAACAAAAAGAGGAATCGCGAAGAAAAGGAAGAAAAAAATTTCAATTATGTGCCGCAACCATTTGGTTAATACTACCATTTTTAGTTTAGATTATAAAATATTCCTAATTGGAGGATATATCTTGCCGCGAATTCATGTAACAATTCAAGTTTATTCTAAAATAGTATTTTTATTAATATTTAAAATAATAATAACGTTTCAGTAAGAACGATAAAAATATACGTGAATACAAACCTAATCTTCAAAATTAGTCGAATAAAAACTATTTCACTAAAAAAAAAAATTTTTTTCCTTTTAACTGCGGATTTTTAAGAGTTTTTTTTTTTTTTGTTGATTGATCATATTATTATCATCTCTAACGGAAAATACATACTCATACTTCTAAACACTATTTAACGATCCAAATATAATTTATATAAACGCAAACTGTATTTGATTATTAATTATTAATAAAATTTCTTATCTACTGTTATATTCAACAAAAAAATAGTCTATATCCACACTAGTCTCGTGACATCTATAACTTATAATTCTTAAATATTTTAATTTTGTTTGATAGTCTACTTCTCAAATTTTATTTAAACGTGTAGAAAAGTTGACACAATAATTATAATCAAGATGTCCAAAATGGTTGTATACTCATTAATCAAACAAAGTAGTATGAGATTTAATCAATTACGAAATTTAAAAACTGCTAGACGTTTTTTTGATCCTAAAAATGATGTCGCTTTCAAAAAGATTTTTGGTGTGGAAAGTAATAAACCACTTTTATTAAGCTTATTAAACTTAACATTAAGACGAAAGGATGATGATATGATTGAAGATGTTAATTTATTGCCTCAAGAGAAAATTCCTCAATTTAAAAAATCTATTTTAGATGTTGTTTGCTGTGATAAAAAAGGACGTCGTTACATTGTTGAAATACAAAATAAAAGACTCAGCTCATTCATTCAAAGACTAGAATATTGTGCCTCACGTACTTATTCTGAACAACTTTTTCAAGGTGCAGATTACTTAGAACTTAAGCCAGTAATTCTGCTTACTATTGTGAATCATAATATTTTTCCTAATTCAGTTCAATATATTAGTTATCATACCAATCGTGAAGAGGAGGAAATAAATAAATGTTTTTTACCAAATATTTCATACATATTTATTGAACTTCCAAAATTTGATAAATGCAGAGAACAACTCAAAACTTCTGAAGATTATTGGATACATTTATTAAAGGAAGCTTCCAATGAAACGAAACCTCCAAAAGAAGTACCTGACGAAATTCAAAAAGCTTATGATATTCTTGAACAATATAATTGGACCGAGGTGGAACGTATCAGCTATGAAAAGACCAGGATGGCAATTTTAGATGATGAAGATGCAATAAGAACGGCTGTAGGTGAAGCTGTAAGTGAGATTGCAAAGAAGCTTTTGAAAGAAGGTGTATCTCATGAAATTATTTCGAAAGTTTCAGATTTATCAACTTCAAGAGTTGGACAAAAATAATATTTATTATTTGACTTCAATATTATATACAAAAGTTTATTGTAAATTCATGTTATAATTTATGCCTATAAAAAATTAACAATAACTCTTATCAACAAAGGTTCAGCACAAAATTTTATATAGTTTTGTTATTTTTTACAACACTTTGTTTTGTAAATATTCGACTATATATTCTGTCAAACGTACATTTCGAATCAACTACAACTTATTTTATTTTTAAAGCTCAATATATTTGCTTTTCGTTTTTGTTATTTTTAATTCAGTTAAAAAAGAACTTATAGTTAGTAGTTAGCACTTAAGACAATTTTCCATATCTGATATGTGCAACAAATAATATTATTAAAGAATTCTTTTAAATTTAATATAAAAGTTTTAATTTCGTAAATTTTTATATCCTGTCAAATTGACCATTGAAAATTTTTAATAGAAAATGAGTATCAAAGGTAACGGCGAAAACAGGTGAACCAATTGTTCGAATTAGGAAATTGGAATGAAATAAATAGATCAAAGTCTATTATTATGTTGTCTGAATTACGAAGGGAAGGATATGAGCAAGATCGCACGTTGGACACAACGATAAACGATCAATAAGACATATGGTTAAGTAATAAGAAATATTTTATGAATAATATTAGAGATTTTTCATTTGTTGATATCATATATCAATCAATTGATGTCAAAAAATTATAAAGTCAAGATTATGGATATCGATCGTTGTTAAAGAACTTGTATAATCACCACGCTCGGAATGTTGATAATATTTAAATTCATCGTTAATAATCTTTACGCTTCCCAAACAAGAGATAAATGACTTTTCCTTTGCGTCCTCCTTAGATATTATATAACAGCATCATTATGTAATCCAGCTTCCTCAACATTTCCAATCTAATTAACGATTTACTTAAAGCACTAGAAAATTATTTGCGTGGATTAGAATTTTTAAGTCTGCTCGTATCTTAGACCCTCAATTCTCTTTTGTTGACTCATTCCTTGGAATTGAGTATAATAATAATAATAATAAAACAGAAAGGAAACATATACAGTAGTGCCGATCTTATGACTTGGAAACGCTTTCTCATCAATTTTTAAATATTGGGCCAAATTAATAAATGAAATTATTATTATCAAAATCATCAAATTTCTTCACCTTTTTTTTTTAGATTCATCATTTGCTTCCGTTGTGGGGAAAAAATATTCCATTTTTTTCTTTTTACATCCTTTTTTTACTTACATTATGTCTACATTTTGTTCTTTGATTTTTTGTGCAAATGAAATATAATTTTTGCATTTGTGTTATTAAAGATTAAAGTAAAATTATTAAACATCTAATTCATCGTCTCCCCATATAATTTCATCATCAATATTAGTATAATAATTACCTGTTTCAAATGTTTTTGTCTTTTTTAAGTAAAGCTTTTTTTCTTTTCAATATATCAGTCATTAGTTAAAATAAAATTTTAGATTAATAACATAAATAATTGATTTGATATAATAAAAAAAAAATCTTTTTTGGAGGTTATACCTATTTTTGGTTTAAGATTTAAAAAAATAAGATTTAAAATAGTAATAATATTGAATATTACGTAATAGCAATTTTTTTTTATCGAGGAGAACTGATTTAATAAAAAAAAATTTTTAAAAAATGAACTTTTCAAATGAAACCGACATTACTAAAGAATGTGAATTTTCTGTATTGGTTCCCCATAAAAAAACTCTCTCTCGCCCTTTCTCTCCCATTGATATAGATGGGTTAAGTTGGCCCAGTAAGTTTTTTTTAATATACTATAAATATCTTTTTTAAAAGTTTCTTTTATTTTTATTTTTTATTTTATTTTGTTTGAAATAAAGGTATAGGTACTAAACAACGGTTAAACGAATCAGAAGAACAAAAAAGTGAGCGAACAAAAAAACTTGCTGAGGCTGTTAAAACAATTGTAGAATGTATTGGAGAAGATCCTAATAGAGAAGGATTATTAAAAACACCTGATAGATACGCTCATGCTTTAATGTTCTTTTCTAAAGGATATGAAGAAAGTATAGAACGTAAGTGCTGGGATCAAATAAAATCTTTTAAACCATTTTTTTTTGATTGAATTTATTATAATTATAAAAAAAATTTTTTTTGTATTAATATCAGATATAATTAATGGTGCCATATTTGAAGAAGGTATTCTTTGAAATATTTCTTTGGTTTTAATTTTTCATCATATTTTTTAGCTAACACGAATTAATAATAACAATGACAAATTAACAATTAAAAATGATATAAATGAATTTAGATCATGATGAAATGGTTATAGTAAAAAATATTGATGCATTCTCCTTATGCGAACATCATTTGGTACCATTTACTGGAAAGGTGAAATTATTCAAATATTTTCTTTTTTTTTTCAGATTTAAACGAAATATTAATAAAATTTATTGATAACATTAGATTAGTATAGGATATATTCCAAATCGTCGAGTTTTAGGGATATCTAAACTTGCAAGAATTGCTGAAATGTTCTCAAGAAGATTACAAGTTCAGGAACGTTTAACAAAACAAATTGCAGTAACTTTACAAGAAATATTAAAACCTCAAGGAGTAGCTGTTGTCATGGAAGCGACGTAAGTAAAATTATATATTATATATTAAAAAAATTTTTGCATTTATTTATTAATTAATTAATTTATTTATTTATTTTATATCGATGGATATTATTGATGATATTAGACATTTATGTATGGTTATGCGCGGAGTACAGAAACCTGGAAGTTCTACAATTACAAGTGTTATGTTGGGAGTTTTTAGAGAACAAGCGAAAACACGAGAAGAATTTTTAACATTAATAAAAAGTTGATGATTTATTGATCCAAAGACAATTTCTAAAGACAATTCCCAAAGACAATTCCCAAAGACAATTTCCAAAGACAATTCCCAAAGACAATTCCAAAGACAATTTCCAAAGACAATTCTCAAAGACAATTATCTAATCAAAAGATATAAGACTTTACTAGATTATCATTATCTATTTAGAAACCTTAATCTAATTTTAGAACGACATACCCTTTTTGTGAAATTTTCGATTAATTAATTTCGTATAATAATAAATAAATAATTTATTTATTTAGAAAATTTTGTGGTCTATAAATTATTTTGCTCAAAAAAAAAATTCATAGTAGTGACTTTATTTAATAACTTTTAAATAGCTTTGCCTGAATTGATTTATATACTGCTTATTTTGTCTATATCTATAATTTATAATTTAGAAGAATCATTTTATTAGATGTCGAATTTTGGTTTGTACTCAATAAAAATAGATAACCTTGTTTGAGTTAAATTTTTATTTTTATTTCTTGGAAAAGAAAAATGTGAACATAAAAATGTCATGCATATGTTTTAAATTATTTTATTTTATTCCTGGTCAATCCCCTACCAACATTAACTTAATTCTGCCCACCGGTTAATTTTCCCTCCGGTTAAATGTAGTTTTTTTCTTTATTTTAATTTAAAATAAATTATTTTATTTAAATTATAAATTCATAAATTGTGACACGTTACAGTTTTTATAATACTAATTTGACGCGATGCATTCTAATAATATCATTTTACCTTTTGTTCAAAGAAAGGACTAATGTCAAAATTTGAGATTATATAATAAAAAAAATATAATTCAAAATAATTAGTCTTAAATAGTTCTGGAATCGCATAAATATGTCTCTTGTTGTCACAGCGAAAATACCTCAAAATGCAGTTTTCTTCGCTGGTGAACGATTTCAGTGTGAGATTACCTTTTCATACCCTACTCCTAATGTTGAAAGATTATCTAATGAGGTTAAGACCTCTGGTTCTACCAATAAGAACGGGATCACAACTCATATGAAATCAAGTGGCGATTCTAAATCTCAAGGCAAGAAAACTTCAGCTAAACAAAACAGTACTCCATTGTCCGTTATAGTAGAGAATCCTGCCATACAAAATAGTCTCGCGGGAGACCTTGGCGATTCCGGAATGTTTGGTTTTCGTAATTTCGTCAAACAATCAGCAACACTAACAGCGATTGCATCATCAACATTTTCATTACTTGCATTGGGTGGTGGAAATTCTATGGTGTCAACATTACCAAAATTATCTCCACCTACTATAACAAATTCTTCAGAAAAATTATCACCTTTACAAGAAGTTGAAAGGTTGTCGAATAAAACAATAAATAAAGGTGGTGGTAAGTAATTGATAGAATCAAATCTTTTTTTTTTTTTTATCATCAACAACAACAACAACAACATCTTTATCTTTATCTTTTCTTTATACAACAAAAAAAAAAAAAAGCCAATCCTTCACAATCAGAACCATTTTCATACACTGAAATTGAAGAGACAGATGGGGATGGTGGTTTAATTAATTTACAACATGCGGATGCTAGTGATACAGTTTCTATGAGTGATTATGATACATCCGAATCAACACCTAGAAGTTCAGTAGATTTTTACGGACTTGGATATTCAGAAAGTAATAATGCTTGGGGTGGATCATTATCAGAATATAAAAAGTATAGTTCTAGTAGTAGACGTTCATCATCAGGAAGTGGGCGTTGTAATTCTTCACCTTCTCTTACTCAAAAGTATGAAACATTATTATGGGGATTTGCACAGATAGTAGGCCAATTTATGGTTGATAGTTCTTTAATTAAATCTATTGAATTTGAACCATTGAAGACAAAAACAATGTATCGACCAGCTGGTAGTAATGTAGCTGGAGGTGCGGTAGGTGGTGGAACTTTGGGTATATCTAATTCATTACATCCATCAAGTTTACAGGATCTTCAAGATCGAGCAGGTATTAATTATTTTTTTATTTATTTTAATTTTTTATTTTTCCAATTTATTGATCATTTTATTGATTATTTTATAGTTCTAATTTATTGATTAAAATTATTTATGGATCAAAATATTTAAAATATTTAAACATTATCAAATTAAAATATATATATATATATATATATTTTTTTTTTTCTTTTAATCATTTTATTTTTAGATAGTAACTCTATTCCAGTTTTCTCAACACCTCCTTCAATTTTATTTTGTGATTTACATTTGGCACCGGGGGAAACTAAAACTTGTAATAAAAATATTAATAATTTATCATTTTAAAATTTAATTTGAAATACCTAATTTTTATAAAAATTTATTAAAATATTAAAAATAATTTCATTAATTCTAATTTAGATAAATATGAGACTAGATTACCGACTGATTTACCTCCATCTCATCGTGGTAAATCAATTCGGTTTCAATATAATTTAATAATAGGAACTCATCGAGGAGGTTTAAATCATCAATCGAATATAGTTCAGATGCCTTTTCGAGTATTCAATTATGTTTCGGGTAAACTATTTTAGTCACTTTCATAATACTTTAATTCCCCATTATATTTAATCAATAATCCACTACTATTTTCGTGACTATTTGATATAGAGGATGGGTCACGACCTGTTTATGATTTAATGAATCCAGTCGTAATTTACAAAGATGACGCTATAATAACTTGTAAAGAAGATGGTCCAAAACCTCAACCAGTTAAGAAAAGAGGTTATTATTTTCTCATGTCATGTCATGTCATATGATTTTCTTAAAGTTTATTGTTTAAAATATATTGAACTGATTTTTTATTATTATTATTATTATTATTATTATTATTATTATTATTTTTTATTTTTTTATTTTTATTATTATTATTATTATTACTATTTTTATTATAATAATAATAATAATTATTATTATTATATATTCGATAGACAATAAGCGTGATGAATTTTTGGATTATGTAGAGAAACTTGTTCAAAGCAATAATAATGAAGAAATAGTTATTATAAATAAAAGAATGGAAGAAAATAATGATAGTGATATGTACGTTTTTGTAGAAAAAGATGAAAATTCAGTAGCAAATACTGCAACAATATTATCCAAGCACATGCGAAAAGGTATTTTTATTCAATTTATTTAATTCAATTAAAAACTCTTTTTGTTTTATTAAAATTGTTAATTATTTTTATGATTAATTTAGCAAATTACGATATTTGTAAAAATAATCAGCGAGTCGCACAATTATGTTTACTAAAAACATCATATCGATTGGGTGATATAGTCATTGGCACGCTAAATTTTGATGGTGCTATTATACCAAGTTATCAGGTAAATAAGAACAGCAACAATCAATAATTAATATTTGCCAATTTATTCTAATTTAAAAATTTTTTTTTTTTGATAGGTATCTATAACTTTGGAGAATAGTGAAATTATTGAGCCATCTATTGCCAATCGACCGCAATCACAAATAGCCCGTTTAACCCGTAAAATACATGGAGAACATCATGAATTTTGTTTAAATGCTAAACGTATTAGTTTTTCTATTTCGATGCCAACAAATTGTACTCCGGATTTTGCAACAACTGGAGGTGACTATTATAATGTATTGATTTTTTGGTATTCGTCTAAATTTATTTCTCATTAAGTTATTTTTTTCTGTAGTGAAACTTCAATGGTGCCTGAGACTAGAATTCATTACTGGTCCAAAGGATCAAAATTCATTAATACCACTTAATGCAGATGAAAGACATCATTATTATCAAGCAGTTGAAGAAGTTAATGTTGAAACCTTTGATTGTTCTATTCCAATTAAAGTATATCCAACATCATATGAATCTGCACGGACATTTCCTTCTCAACACACTTTTCGTGTAACATAATTTTTATGTTTGGTATTTATTTGTTATCTTTACCTTTTATTTTTATTCATTTAATATCATAGAATTAAAAAAAAAAAGTACATCTTCATTACATAAGTTGTTTTATTCATTAATTTTAACATGTACATTCACTATACAAATCACATGATAATTGTAATTATAATATTTCACGTGCAACGCTCATAAATAATTTCAAAATCCAAGATTATCAAATATATTCACTTGTTTTCTTTCTCAAAATAAATAAACAACTATGCCATTTAAAAGTTTAAAATCTGTCTTATTTGAAATTTCTACATTTAAATCATTTAAACCGTATTTACTTTTAAATAATAACCTTCCTCGTAAATTTGCGTCGAATATCGCATCATCAAAAGGTAAATCGACTTTTTTCATAATTTCATTTAATTGATTTATTTAATTTTCATTTTTCAATGAACTTTTTTTTTTTTTATTTTATTTTTATTTTATAGATGTTTCATTGTTAAACAAAAAATCCATAAAAACTCAACCATCATCAACACAAAAAGTTATATCTTTTGTACCAGCTGGAACAATTTTAAAAGGAATCAATATATTTAAAAATGGATCTGATCCTATAGCAAAACTTGATGAAGAGTATCCAGATTGGTTATGGGATTTATTAGATGAAAAAAAGCAAAATGTATTGAGAGAACATCCACATTCTAGACCTGCTCTTCGACAACAAAGAAAGCAATTGATTAAAAATAATAATTTTGATAAGAGTAGAAAAAAATAAAAAATAAAAATATTGAATAAAATTATTTTTAATATGTACATTTAAATAGAGTGGAATTTTTATTTATTTTATTTTATTTTATTTTATTTTATTTTATTTTATTTTATTTTATTTTATTTTATTTTATTTTATTTTATTTTTTTTTTTTGCATTGAAATTTATTTTTCTTATAATAATTATGAATAAATAATTTTTTATATTTATTTATAAAAATAAAATAAAAAATATATTCCGGACAATAATTTGGATCATTTCAAGGTTTCTTGATAATGATCTTGACCATTTATTAATACGATCAGAGTGATGAATCGTGTGATTTTTTTTATATATAAAAATAAACATACTCATACTTTATCAAACATGACTTCGCATTTTATCAATATATGCAAATTTGTAACTTCACGTAACGATTACATTGCTTTTCAAAAATATTCCAATTCAATTATTGAAACTAAATTTCAGAATTCACAACAAATTCCACGTTTAAATTCAAATTCTTGTTTAACACCACCACCACCAAAAGTCATTTATATAAATGGATATAATTCAGAGATGCAAACTTCCAAAAAAGTCGCATACATTACAAAATTTTGTGAAAATTTTGGTATTGATCTTTTAACTTTTGATCATTATGCACATGGTCTTTCAACTGGTTCATTTTTGAAGGCAACAGTTGGTAGATGGTATAAAGATTTATGTTTATTGATAGAAAAAAAAACTAGTGGACCACAATTATTGATTGGATCAAGTATGGGAACTTGGTTAGCTTTATTAGTGGTATTAAAAAACAAAAACCTAAGGAATAGAATTCATGGTATTATTGGGATAGCACCTGCAATCAATTTCACAGAGATAATTTTGAATGAAATTTTAGAATTGAATAATGATAAATTAAATGATCAAAATGATCATAAAAATAACGAATCAATTTTATTTGGAACAAGAACGATACAAAATGAGACACATAATGAATCTCAAATTGTATATAATAGACCATCTAAATATTCGCCTACAGGATATTATCCAATGACACTACACTTTCTGCAAGAATCTCGAGAGCATTTCATTAATCAACAGGAATTAGTTAATGGCATTCCATGTCCGATCGTATTAATACATGGTCAACAAGATCAAGACATATCATATCAAGAAACTTTAAAATGGTCAAAATTATTGTCCGGAAAAAATGAAGAAAATGTTAAAATAAAATTGATATCAGATGGAGATCATCGATTGTCAAGAGAACAAGATTTAAAAATATTAGGAAATGAGATTGAAAATATGTGTTTCGGATATTAAATAATTTTTAATGATCAAATAATTATAAATTTGTCTTTTTAAAATAAAATGTATAGAAGAAAAACTTTAATTTTTTAGACCTAAAAATTTTACGACAATTTTTCATATGATCACATGATAAGGCGATCTATAACCCTTAAAAAATTATTACATACAAAATAAGAGATTCATGAAAAAAATTCCACTCTATTCAAATATACATAATAAAAATAAAAAAATCGAGTCTTTAATCAACTAAAAAGAAAACCAATTTGACAATTATTTTTTTTTTTCACAAAAAAAAATAAATTGACAAAGCATTCATTGTTGAACCTACATGTTTGCAAAAAAAAAAAAAAAATACCAAGCAAATGACACACATAGTAGTTTCATAAAAAAACGATTGAAATTACAAGACAAAGAGGATACACAAAGACACGCTTACGATTCATTAAAAAATATAGCTGTGATTCTTTAATTTCTAGATTCCAACCTTTGCATAAAAGTCTGAGGCGAATCAATAGTACCTATCATATCGTCTGAAATTCGTGACCATATTATGTGAGAATCATGAAAAACGAAATTGCTAATTAGGTAGTCGTCTCCTTTTCCCCTACCGGCGGAGGAATATCATGAGGAGATTGAGATCGAGATTTAGGAAGACCATTGAGTTGTTCTGACCTTCTACGACGTTCTGGTAATGGACTACGAGAATGCGACTTGGAACGAGATCGATATCTACTAGGACGTCTTCTATCTCCTTCATCATAATATCTTAATCTTGATCCACTTCGATTTCGACTAAGACTTCGACTATGTCTTCTATAGAAAGAAAATTAAAAAAATTAAGAAAATTGCATCAGCTCACATATAATCTTTTTTTTTTACATTCTTTTACATTCTTTTACCTAGGTCTGTAAGAATTGTCTGATGTAGCATATCTTCCACGTCTAAATGGCGAGTACCTAGATATAAAAAATAAAATAAATCGAGTTTACCAAATGTAAATAGTCGACATTTATCAATTTAACTTACCGATTACTGTCTTTGCCTCTCATTTCACGTGGAGCTGTAAATAAAAAAAATTTTTTTTAAGAAGCTATAAATTATAAAAATAAAAGATCTAGGGAAAAGGCAACCATACTTTTTCGTGATCCGCGAGCAAATTCTACAGTAAGTTCTCGACCATGTAATAAAATGTTAGTAGCACGTCTATACGCTTCGTCGCAATCACGTTCGTCATAATATCTTGTGAAAGAAAAAAACCGCGTTTTCTTGTCAAGGAGCGATGGAAAAGTCTTGAAAAACAAGTAATTGTCTTTGGGAGGTAAAACTTGAATCTTTTCCGGAAGTCGCAACACTTTTTGATCTTTGCTTGCGAAGAAAAGTCTTTAAGGATACTCTATATACGCAAATCCTCTTGGTTCCCTAGTGTAGAAATCTTTCGGTATATATACTAATTTTAAAATAAAAAAATCCGAAGTGAATATATGTTATTTTTTGAACGTTATTCATTTAATAGATCAAAATAATATTCACCGTCTTTGAGTCTGCCAAACTCTTTGAAAACTGGTTCAAGATCTTCAATACTGATAAATAGAAAGTAAAAAAAGTCCAGTTAAATAAAGTAATATTAATTATGTAATATGATTATAACTTACGTTGTTCGACGGGAAAGTCCAGAAACGAACAAGGAACAAGACATTCTTTCAGCATGAGACATTGCGTTGCTGTATGTTTTAGAGATTTAGACGATTATATAATATATTTATATAATAACAAAAACATTGTAATATCAGCTATTATTAACGCACGTGGTTAACCAATCATCTTTTTTTCATACTCAATATTTTTATATCACGTATGTGACAATGACATATAAATTTTGGGATCTTTACCATTTATACTTAAACCGAGTAGATACATTTTGAGAGCAATCTCACCAAGCAACAATATATTTAATTCTTTCTGCGATGTGACCCAATAGTGTTCAAGTCGTTGAATTAGTAAAATTTATATAAATCTCTGAGAATATTCTACTGACTGATCTTACAAAATAATTATCAGCATCGTTCTTCCAACGCCCATTGAATTTTATTCCCATCTATTCATGACCCTTTTCTACGCTTATCTCAATAAAAGTCCGGAACAAAAAAATTTTTTTTTATCATTTTCTTTAAAACAAGAATTTAATGACTTCCACTTCCAAAAAAAGAACATTGCAAATTACAAAGTATTAATTAACAAGAATAATATAATTCTTGCCTTTTAGGGGATAATATTTTATCAACTATATACTCATATTTTATCCATTTTTAGCGATGTATCAATATAAAATACAACTTGCTGATTTGCATGTGATAGGCGCTTTCCGATTCGATTTTGTCACAGTCATATTTATGATGCTAAGTAAAGTTTGAAGACATAAGTCCGGGTCTTTGACAATTAAATAGTTTGAAAAATAAATTTTAATTAGCTTTAAACGCTAGTCAAGTTTTATACAAACAGAAAAAGGCAAGTTTGTTTCAAAAAAAAAGAGCGTGTTATACACTACGATAATAATAATTTTAATAGTTATTGAAATTTTAAAAAAAAAACAATTGATAATAAGTTAAATAACATAACACAATAAATATGACGCAAAAGAAATCTCATAAAAATAAATAAATTAATATTGAACATATTTGAAATGAAATCTAATAAGTATTATCAGTCATAAATAACAATTCAACAGCACCGGTCACTGCTTCAAGAACCAAATGTGAATCGAATTCTTCGTGACGGTTTTTATGTGACTTCTTCTTATTTTTCTCATGATGTCGATGTCGATGTTGATGTTGGCGATGAGAATCACTCTCATCGTCATCACCTGATTTTGTTTTGTAACCGATTTTAGTATTTCTCATATTCTTTGTGAAAGTTGTGTTAGAACCAGAGACATATGAATATCCAATTAAGGTGGTAGCTGAGAAATCTCCAACATACGAATCAGGCTTAAATATAAAAGGTTAAAATTTATGGTTAAATTTAAAGTTTAAACTTTAATATTTTTTTTTTTAAAAAAAAAAATTAATTAATTAAAAAACTCTAACATACCGCAATAACAAGAATACCTCCATTAACTGAACCAGCTTTAATATCAATGGTTTGATCATCGTTTAAATTGAACTATGATTTGTAAATTAAAAAAAAAAAACAATAATATATTACTTTGTACACAATTTTATAAGAAAAATAATATATAAAAAATATAATAAACAAGAAAACGAAAAACATACCACTTTAACTTCCACATGACCGTTAATAGATTTTGTTGTAATTCCAACATGTTCCGCAAATTCATTGACTATGACATTTATGTCAATATTACCATTTACAGTACGGATCTTTTAAAAAATTCGTAATGAATTAATAATATTAAAGAATTTAATATTAATTTAAATATTAATTTGTTATTAAATTCGTTACTAAAATAAATTGAAAAACATACATCCAATGCTTCGGCAGTTACAATTGATCCGTGGACTAACCCATTAATAGTGGCAATTTCGGAAACAGCAGAATTGAGATCCTAATGTTTAAATATAATTAAATATAATTTATTTGTTGTGTCAATTATGTTAATTATGTTAATTATGTTAATTATAGAAACAGAAATAATAAAAACACATCCACAATTATTAACCAATCAACTTACTTTAATCATGATATCACCATTTCTGGTCTTTAAGCCAACATAAGCAAATTCGATATTTTTCAAGTCATTAATCGTAACCCAACCATTCGGTACATCAATAACCAAAGATCGCCAGAAATTAACTTGTTTGGGAAATGTAATTATAGTATCAACGTGAACACATTTCGCGGTGGGACGTGGACCATCAAACGAAGGAGTCTAATAAATATTCAATATTCAAAATATTTGAGATCATCAAATTATCATCGGTTCGTGAGAACAAAAAGAAAATAATAGTAAACATTATATAAATTACCTCGATGGTGATGATATAATCTTCATCAATAATATCAATTTTAATATCAACTTCATTTTGGAGACTTTCTTCGGATAAATAAATCTTATTATTAACAGTAATAAATTTTGCGTTTGGGTCATGACGAATGAGAACACTTCCATGCTATTATTTTAATAAAAAAAAAGATTTTTTATTTACAATTAAATAATCAATAATAATTGTATAGAAAGTGATATACTAAAAAATGAATTTACCGATGCCATTCCCTTAACGTTAAAAATTAATCCAGAAACCTCACTAGGATCAATCAACAATTCGCTTGGACCATTCCATTTGTACGAAGGATTGCAAGATGATTCATAATAGGTATGAGGTTCATATATTTTAAGTGGAGTTACTGGAACTCCATGACAAGTTTTCTACATAATATAAAATAATCAGTCAGTTAAATTGTAAATTTGTTTGTTCGAGAAAAAAATAAAATAAAATTTATTCATTTATTCTTACATTATTAGAGTAAAGGGAGTTCCTATGAAATAACAGACGACTACCAAAGAAAATGAACATGATGATTATCAAAGCTTTTTTCCATAATTTACAAGGTCTTTTCTGAGATAATCCAGTTCCGTCTAAATGAATATGATTTTCTTTATTATAAATTGGTTCTTTAAAATCATAGTGTAGTTATTTGTGTGTAGCAATATAATATAAAATAAATACATAAATATAAATACGTTAATAAAATAACTTGTTAGTTTTCTACGACACTAATAATATCAGTTTGACATTATAAAATTTACCTTGCTTTTGTTCGTCACAGGGAACGACAACGAAGGCAGTTTGATTAGTACTCTTAGACATTATATTTTTTTATTTCGTTTTTCAAGTGGGAAATTCTCTTAAAGCAATAATAGAGAATATACTGTGTCAAGAATTCATTGGGAACACAATTTATATAGTATTTACTCCATTTTTCTGCGTCACGGGAGTACCAAAAAACCTGAACGCATTCTTGATTAATTTACGCCAATTAAAATGTCATTTGATTTGGTAACTTTTACATAATTATTTATTATCAAAGTTGATATATTTAGTTTTTTAACTTTAATTGAATAAATTTAATAAATTAAATAAATCGAATAAATTTAATAAATCGAATAAATCGAATAAATTGAATGGCAAAAAAAAAAATGGTTGATTTAAAGGCAAAACTGATTACGCAGCCATTTGAAATAAGTTTTAAATAAATTAATTTATATATAGTTTAAATGTTAAAAAAGGGGGCATTTACTTTAAGAGATGATTATTGACTGATTTATAAGCTATTTTTATATCACTGTAATTATTTCCTCAATATTTGAGAATTATTTCATTTATTCGTTTTATCACGTTCAAGGTTTTGCATCTCTTGTTTAAACAAATTGGCTTCTTGATGTGCATGTTTTTCTGCTTGTTTGTCTTTAGTACGTTCTTTTCGTGCTTCCTCTTCGGCTTTAATAGCTTCCTGTGCCGAAGTATGTTCTTCCTCGAGCGTGGAGATCTAATAATTATATATTATATATTTATATTTATTTATTTATTAGATATTTCAAGAATTTTTTTATCCAAATTTATTATTTATTATCAATACCTTTTTAGAATCTTGATTTTCCATTTGTATTGTTTTTTGAATTAAATTTTGTGGAAAGAAAAAGTCTCTTATTTATATATAATTTTATATATATAATTTTAATAAATAAATAATTACAATTTCAGTATTTACGTATTGTGATATCATACGATACAAGATTATACAAGACTTTAATAATAATCGTATGACATAATATACTTAAATTTGATAAAAACGTTTTATTTTCTATATCAGGTTAAAATGATTGACCCGTATAAATATATATATATATCTATCTATCCATCTATCATTATTCTCACGTATTTTTTTTTTATAATTTTAAATTTATTTGTTACAAATGTCTGATGAATTAGTAACCATTCATGATGCTTCACCTGAACAATTATCGGAAATCAATAAAATTACTCAAGAATTTGAATTGAAAATCGATAAATTGAAGAAAATTCAAAATTATTTTATGAAACAACTCAAAAATGGACTTGAAAAAGATGGACAAAGTTTGTCAATGGTTCCTAGTTTTGGTAAAAGATCTTTATCTTTTTTTTTTTCATGTAACTTTTTCTATAAAGATATAAAAATATATTAATTTTATTATATTTATAAATCAATCATATTTCTTTGATCATGCAGGTAAGCTTTATTAGTAAATTAAATAACCTTTTTATAGAATATAAATTAATTATATGTCAATTGTTATTAATTATTTATTAAATTATTTAATTGTTATTATCAAATCTTAATATATATCAATATATAAATAATTATTAATATATTAATAATAACTTATTTAGTTACTGGCGTTCCAACTGGTAATGAAATTGGAACTTACCTTACCTTGGACCTTGGTGGTACAAACTTGCGAGTTTGTAAAGTTATTCTTGAAGGTGGAAGAAAAATTGGCAATATAAAGGGTCAACTATATGAAGTTTCTGAAGATCTAAAAACAGGAGATGTAACCATTCTCTTTGATTTTATTGCAGATTGTGTTAAAGATCTTTTGTTAAAAGAGTGGGGAAATAATATACAAGAAAATGATAAAATTGATTTAGGTTTTACTTTTTCATTTCCAGTAATTCAAACTGCCATTGATAAAGGCATATTGTTAAAATGGACTAAAGGATTTACATGTACTGGTGCTGTGGGAAATGATATAATTTCTATTTTACAAAAATCACTTGATCGTAAATCTTTACCAGTTAAAGTTACTGCTTTGATAAATGATACTGTTGGTATTGCATTAGCTCATGCCTATTATCACTCTGAAGTTGTCTTGGGTGCCATTCTTGGTACAGGTACAAATGGTGCATATTTTGAACAATTGGAAAATATTAAAAAATTGAATCATAATTTCAATCCTTTGGATAAAATGATTATTAATATAGAATGGGGTGCTTTTGATAGTGAAGTAATTTTTTTTTATTCTTATTTTATTATTTATTTTATTCTTATTATAATTTATATATTAAAATATAATGATTTATTACAGAAAGTGATACTTCCTATTACACAATATGACAACAAATTAGATAAAGAATCAAATAATCCAAATTCTCAAATCTTTGAAAAATTAATTTCTGGAATGTATTTGGGTGAGATAACTCGTAATATTATGTTATATCTAATTGATCGTTCATTGCTCTTTAATGGATTATCGTCAGAAAACTTTAATAAGCATTATATATTTGAAACAAAATATATGTCTATTATTGAATCTGATAATACTGAAACTTTAGAAAATACAAAACAAATATTGGAAAATTTATTTCATATCTCAACTACTAGTTTAACTGATCGTCAAATTGTTAAAAGAATTTGTCAATTGGTTGGTATACGAGCTTCACGATTATCTTCTTTAGCATTAGCAAGTATAATTAGTTATTGTAAAATGGAAAAAAGTAAATGTTGTGTTGGAATAGATGGATCATTATTTGAGAAATATCCCAATTTTAGTGTACGTATGCATAATACACTTAAAGAATTTTTTGGTGAGAATGCAGATAAAATTGGATTACATTATACAAGTAATGGATCAAGTATTGGAGCAGGTAAATATTTTTTAATTTTTTTTTTTTTTTTTACTTGAAAAATTAATTAATTTTTTTTAATTTGATTATAGCTTTGGCTGCTCTTTTAGCAAATCAATCCAAATTATAAATAAACCTTTTATATATAAGTAAATATATTATCTTATTTATAAAGTTTAGGAATAAAAAATTTTATATTAATAATATCATTAAAATTAAATAAAAATTTAAATATTTATACAATTTATAAATTATTCAAATTATTTAAATTTTGTTATTAATTAATTATTAAAGATTATTTATTTTTGTCAGATTTTACCTGTTTTAAAAATATATTAAAAAATTAATAAGATATAATATTACATATAATATATAGCTATATGTATATTATATTACGGAAAATCATGTAACTATCATCAAAAATTGACTTCGGTCAAACGATTTACACGATGGGAGCGATTTTCTACTATGATATTTTTATGTCCATGAAAAATTTCTGTCATAAATACAGACGTTCGACTTTAAATGTGAATACCTCCGCAAATAACGGTGTTATCGGGATGAAACACATATAATTTTGTAGCCAAGAACAAGGCCTTTCTTTCTATCTTAGAAATATATTAGTTATACGCGCTTTTTTTTACATTTTTTCAATTTGCTCGCTATTTACGAAGTGTATAATGACTTCCTAATAAGATATTTCAAAGATAGAAAGAAAGACCTTCTTGGCTACAAAATAATATGAGATTCATCCCGGTAACATCGATATTCGCAAAAAATTTATTTCATAAATTTTCCGTAATTCTGGCCAGAATTATGAAAAATAAAGGGAAAATTTATGACAGAAATTTTTCACGGACGTTCGACTTTAAACACAATAACTCCGCGAATAACAGTGCTACCGGGATGAAACACATTATTTTGTAGCCAAGAACAAGGTCTTTCTTTCTATCTTAAAAATATTTTGGTATAAAATCGCTCTACGCTTTGCAAATCGTGAAGTTGAAAAAATGTAAAAATTTTCCATTGATCATTACCTATTATAATTTATGAATTTTTTAACCAATCAAAATTGATTATTAATTTATGACATCTAATAAAATTTTACTAATTTTATTGTCAATATTTTCTTTTTTTAAATTTGAGTAACATATAAAAAGTTAAAATAATTTTTTATAAAAACAAAATTATTTTATTAAAATTCAAAAATCTTATCTAAATAAATTCTTTAATTAAAATATACACTTTTTTTTTACATTTTTTTACTTTTATATATATTGGGTCTAGTGTTATAATCTTTAATCCTATAATCTGAATCAATCCTATAATCCAGATATAAAGATGACAATTAAAATATTTATCATTTTATTTAATTGTCAGATCTTGTGCAATACCAAGATCTAGATTATTATTAATTAATAATTCTCAAATATTATAATATTATATCTTGATTAACCTAATTAACTGATGTTTCTCAGCAGAAATAACTTGTTTGTCTTTTTCTATAATGGGAATAATATATTGAAAAGGTTCTTTTCTTGTTTGTAGTATGGGGTGAACTATATACCTGCCACCCAAATTCAAAATCCAAATGCCGAAATCCCAAATGCTGAAATCTCAAATCCCAAATCCCAAATCCCAAATTATGATTAGTATTTTTTGCCAAAATCCCAAATCCCAAATCCCAAATACTAG